GTGCCGGGTCCATTGCCGAAATCTCCACCTGTGCTGCCGAAGTATGTGCAACATGTCAATGAAACCATTGAGGGCTTGAAGACCGGGTACTATCCACGGAAAAGCCCGCCACCAGGGCCAATGAACGACGCTGGGGCCAAGGCGGCGGCGCGGGGGACAGCGGCGATGGGAACTACATCCAAAGGTTCGTCTTCGTGCTCAGGCCAGGAGGTGTCCAAACGACCTGCTCGAATGGGATCGGCGTGGCCAGAAGAATATCCTCCTTGGGTGGTGGCACCAAAGCTTGGACCTCTTCCGCATCCATCAGAAGGGCCTCGGGATGACCCACATAGAGCTTATCCTTCACCATGGGATCGGCCACATTGGCCTCCGGTGCCTCGGTTGGTTCCACCGGTGGGAGACGAAGGAGACACCTTGGTGATTCAGCCATCGCTTTGGTGGAACCAGGAGCTCTTTGACAAGGTGCAGCGACTGGTGGATGAAGAAGCCACGAAGTTTCGACCAGTTCCAAGGACAGACGCTTGGGACTATCTTCGCTTGCCGCTGGAAACGTGGATGGTCCGACGGCACAGTTTGAGGGTGCAGCGATTTCACCCAGAGCATCGATCCACACCTGAGGACATGAGAGACCTCGAGTATCTCAGGGTGACGGTGGCTTGGCTGCTCAACCAGAACACCATGAAGTTTTCTGAGCGGCTGATCTATGTAGATGCCGAATGGCACAAGGATGGTTTGCCAAATCTGCACGGCAAGTGGTGTGGATTTAGCTTTTTCTTGGTCAAGGACCGAGTCCATGTTGCGACATAGATCGCAAGGGGGAGCGTGAGTCGGCCGAAACGCATGGACCACGTGAGACCCACAAAACAACCTGGCGAAAAACCGCCACAACGTTTGGCTCAAGAAAAGGGCCGCACACACGAACGTGACGCCACTCCCATGATATTCAATTATATTCACATTGTGTGTGTGTGTGTATGTAATTGTATGTATGTATATATATATATATGCTAATTGTAATATGCATGGAGGATTTGGCTTCTTTTTCCCATCCTCGTCCTATCAAAAACCATGATGTCATATGGTATCCACATGCAGGGGTGCCAGCAGAATCTTCCCACTATCCAACGATTTGAATCAATTTGGATCAAACAACCCTCACCCTCACTTGAGGTCTTGTGGTGAATACCCAAATATGCCAAACTGGTCCGACTAGGGTTGCTTCTGACAAAGTTCAGTCGTCCTTGCTCCGTCGACTGTCCTTCAACCGACTTTGAGGCGAAGGATGCTCGGTTGCCCTGTCTTAGCATAGCTTGAACTGCCCCCTAGAAGCCCGCAATTTGGTGTCTTTTCCTGATCAATGCATCTTCAATGGTCATCTCGGAGATGCCATTAAATAGCCTTGCGGCAGCTGAAAAAAAGAAGTGTACCCCCTCCAGTCTCACCCAGTCTGTCTCCAACGGCTGCCCTTTCCGAATTTCCACTGCATATCTGAACAAGCTCAAACAGCCTCAGCCTCTGCTTTTTCAAAGGAGTGGGTACGGATACTGCATTCGCACAGCTGACGATTGATGCACCACGGGGCGCTCCTCATTCGCACACATCTTAATTACACCACCTTTGGGCGTGGCCAGCAAAGGCAGGAGCGCTGCATGTACGAACCTGCAGCGGGATAGCGAACTCGTGCCACTTTCTGCCATGTTCAAAGAATCAGAAAGAATGAGCATCCTCTTTTGCTTGAGTCGTTCCGTTTCGGTGTCTATCGTTACGTTTCACTCTGCGGTCCAAGGAGTCCAACTGTATTACGGTCATGACGTGACCTTACCCCAAATCAAATAGCCCACTGTGTTGGACACACGGTCGGTTTCACTCGCCCAGACCGGAATTCACGGTCGTCACCTGCCCAACACATGCTTCGCCAGCCCTGGGGTGCAGGCTGTGAGACTGTCAAGCTTCCCATTTGGCACATCTGTGAACGCCTTCTTCTTACTGCCAGCGTCCCGGAATCACAGCGATTCCCTGGGTGGGGCAGCATTAAAGTAAAATGATTGTGAATCCCCGCGTGACCAACTCAATCAACACCTCTTCAGGTGTCTTCTGATTCTAGAAAAATTGGGCTCAATTCAGGTTCTATGACGTTTCATGGAGTTTGTTGATATGATGAGACCTCGCTCCAAATCAACCAACCTCCGAGACCGTAACACCCGCGGACGATCACATCGTACCACCGCGAGGAGGTTCTTCGGAACTTCGGAGCCGGGGAAACACAATGACAATCGGTGCCGCCCACGGAAGTCGACTGGACGTCGGCGACAAGTGGACAAGTGGATGTAAAAGCAAAAGCCGAGGTCGGCTGTTTCTACATCAACGTTGATTGACTGAGAGGGTAAAGGATGAGCGTTTTGGTCACCCACCCACCAGGCAGGGGAAAACTGGGCCTAGCTCCAACTGCTAACCTCAACTTCTAACTATGGAGGTTGGGTCGTCTTGTTGCTCTCACTGGTCGTCTGCAGCTGCTCTTTGTCGTCCACAACGGCCGGAGCTGCGTCTTCTGTGGGGTCCGAAGGAGCCTCCTCCTCCTCCTCCTCCTCCTCCTCCTCTGCCCGAGCCTCCACTGCCAGGTACCCGTGAATGAGTTCATGCGCGATTGGGCTGCGTCGAGCTTCCTGAGTGATAGAAAGAGGCCAAAGGGGCTCTCACGGATGCCCCTCCGCCAACAACAAGGAAACTGCTTATCAAACCGTAAGACCCCCCTTGGCACCGGACAACTCCGGTCGGAAAGACCTATCCTCTCCGGTCGGATCACTGGCCCAGGCCCAGCTGTATCAAAGTGAAGAAGAATGGCTGGGAGGTCCGTTGAGAGGTCTTTTATATAAATCTTTAAAGGTAATCTTTGAATTTCTGGGGTTTATCAAACATATCAAAGACACTATTGCCATGTTCCATCACGATGTTCATGTTCATCACTTCTTCCATCCGTCTTGCCAAGGAGCCTCTTGCACTCCGTCTTGAAATGATCGAAAGCTTTGCAGTAAGCGAGATCGAATGGCCTCCTGCTCATTCCGATTTCTGGGAGAGACACCTTCCAGCTCGTGGGCTGGGTGTGGCAAATGGCAGTAAGCACATCGATCTGCGAAAGGGCAGCCTTGTTGAGAAGAAAAGAAGATGCACCTTAGCTGTACGGTCTGGACCTTTGCTACTACCTTTGCTAAGTATAAGGATTTTACCTGAACTGGTGGTTTAGTCAGAAATCCCTTCCTAAGACTAAAATACCCAAAACCTTCTAAAGGACTGTCTGGTAAGACACGGGTTGCAGCTTCCATTCGCATGCTCTCGCTCAAGTCGGCTCCTTGAGCGATTCCGCTCCCGCCCAGTGGGCCGGCCTTCTTCGGTGTGCACGCCGGCTCGGCGCCTGCGGAAAAAGATGTCTCGGACCCACGAGGGAGTGCAAGAACCATTCTTGCATCTTTTGGGATATAAGATGATATAAGGAGTTCTTATCAAACCGGCGGTTGTACTAAGGATTTGAGATGATTTTAGACTCGGCTCAATTGTTCGATTGGTCGAACTGAAGGCGAACTGGAGGACCCTCTGGTTCACCTGAATTTGAGTCGTGGGCGGCAGTCCCTTCCAGGCAGTCCCTGTTTCAGGTCTTACATGTGCCCGTGGGCCGTGTCTACCTCTTTGAGATGTCATGTCTGACATACAGTTTGGTGTCGATGTCATGGACACCCCCAGATGTTGACTTGACGGTTTTGTCCTCTGTCAGACGAGTCATGTCGCACCACCGATGGACCACCGGGCCCACCGGGGCAGCCATCGCACGGACCTGGTCCGACCCAGTCGGACGGCAAGGACTTGTTTGGGGCACCTGTGGTACTGTCTCAGTCAAGTTGCCAAGATCCACGTTGGCAGTCAGTGCAATTGAACTGCACATATTATTACTGTAATTCTTCACAAGAAGAACAAAGTGCGCCATGGCGCCAGTGCTAGATAATTTGACCAAACTGATGTCCAATCATTGCTGGAGAAAAGCAAAACACTTGCCTGTCCTTAGATCTTCCGCGAAGGGTTGTAACCCTTTAATTTAGGAGACTAGACACAAATCCCTTATGAACCTTTGGAGGGCAATGCCGGTCTCAGGCCTAAGAGTATACCAAAGGGAGGTAATTATATATATACATATATACATATTATATATAATATATAATATATAATATACATATAATATATATATATTATATTATATATAGCCCAAAAGTGCCCAAGGTCGCCTGGATCCTGGCCCTGATCTAGACCTTCCGCCGCCCTCGGCCATGGGTCGCCAGAGTTGCCCTCTTCGAGCCGAGAGGGTCTGCAGCGCCGAATGAGCGGTCAGATGGGTCAGCACCGAACTCCACTGGCTCGTGAGTGTTCTTTTTTCTCGACTCAGTTTAGCCAAGAGATTCCAAGTTATATCATGTTATGTTACATCCACTCTGCCATTGAATGAAGGGATATGAAAGGGCAGATGGAATGAGTTGGCTTTAAGCGGAGGTGAACGAGGTCCCTTTGGGGGAAGAATCGAGGGTCAGTTTGGTACCATGTAGCATACCCATTGATGGTGCATGCCCGGCAGTATTCCCTTCCCATGAATCAACCAGCCGGTCGGCCATAGATCGGGCCATCTATGGTTGGGCACCGAGTGGATCCAGGGTTTGGAGCCACTCTTTGAAGCAACCGACCATGCCAAATTAGGGGGATCGAGATGTTCTTGTAGGAGACCAAAAAAGCACAGACCATGCACAAAGCATAAATAACGCGGTAAACATATTTTAAGTATAAATCTATATAATATTCTATACATAATTCATCATAATTTGACAACAGCATCCAACAGCAATGGCTAAAGGGAACACCGTGCTCATTTCTATCATGTCCTTGGTGCAAGGCCCTCATCATCATCACCACATTGGAGGCATGCAGCCCGCCGGGATGGCCGAGGGCTCGCCGTCTGACGCAGCCTCTTCCGGTGTCTGTGAATCCACATAGGCTTTTCCATGCCTCGCCGTCCGAGGAGTCTGACGGGGATCCAACTGAGACCGTCCGGTGATGGGTGGGTGGGAGCGTCTCCCAGTGGGGCAGGAACCGTTCTTTTATGTACATAGGATTATTTAGTAGGCCCCCCTCTCAGGAAGATTGTTAAACATATTCTGACTACTCTGCACATCGTTTCCTGAAAAGTATTCCTGGGGAGGAGTTGCTGGAATAATTAATGGATATTGCCACAGAACCCTCCTCAAGGCCGCATGTCATCGGCGTAAAACTCCTTAGTGTTCCTTAGTGATCCTGGAAGCCAGGACTGCCTGCGCATGAGTATTTAGTTATTTAAAGACTATTTAGTGGATTATAGATTAGCAGGTTTTTCAAGTATTCCAAGGGTCCCTTGACCTACCCCTGCCTACGTTTATTATTCCAGAAACTTATTATGAAACAATTATTCCATGAACTCACAGGACCCAAAAAATAAGCAATGAAATAATCCAACATGTTCTTTTCCAGCGTGAAGACCATTTAAGACATGGTTGACCTGGTGTTGTCCAAATTCGTAAAAACAGTGGCTAGTCGGTCAAGAGCTTCTCCTCAAGCACTAAGACGGCAGCCACCATTCACCTTCGCATTGGCGGCCGGCCCCCTCACCGGAGCACTCCAGTGAAAAAACTCTTCGCTCAAACAAACGCCACCGAGTCGCTTGATGAGATCAATGGCAAAGTCGTACATCTGTTGGAAGTAGTCGCCTGAGATGCCACGACGAACCGGAGGAGCGGAGGCTGGCGCCCACTTGCTTGTGGTGGCGGCGTTCGGGGTGGTGGAGGCTGGTGCCCAGGTGGATCCTAGCCACAAATCCACAAGCTTTAGGTCCTCGAGTGTGCATTCCAGACCGTCCAGAGTCCAGACCATCCATGGGACTGGAATATATGCCGATCAATTGACATCTGAAACTACCTCGATGTAGGTATATATTATATTAGTGTCTGGGTATGGACTCCTGGTGGGATTCACTATTTTCAGCGAGACTCAACATGGCAAACGCGCAAAGAAAAGGGTCACAGTAGCAGCCAATTCTCATGTTAGTTTCACGTGCGTCCGAGTCCTGCGCGGTATTTTTTGGCTGTGGCCAGACGCTCCAAACAGCCCTTGGTCCCTTGGTCCATCAAAACCAAGGCCCAGCGTCTGCCAATATATACTCTCGAGTAAAGGATGTGATTCAGCAAAGATATCACATCTGAGTGCTATCGCTGTTTCAAGTTTTGGCCACAATGTCAACGACATAGCTGAACAAATCCGGAAACTGCTTATGCGGGAGGTTGCCAGCTGTAGAATGAACTTGGACGACCTATGCACACCTGAGCAAAACATACATATTGATAGTTCTTTGCAGCACCCCAAGGTGTTTTGAGAAGAGTTCCCATGGAACTCTGACCTTAACTATGGTTGGAGCATAGCTCTGGATGTAGGCAACAGGTGAACCTTCAACAGTAGTCCCTAGGATGACCCAAAAAGAACACATATCATATCATATCATATCATACACCGCACCTGTGCGTCAAAAGCAGGCGAACCTGAGTATAATATTAACAACCGAAAAACACAAATCCACTAAAATAATATGTAACCCTTCCACTCATGATGAACGCCTGCTGATGCTTACATCAAACCCCTTATAGATTGCCAACATACAACCCAACAGTAGGTCCCTTTCCAACCAACAGAGTTCGCTTGCGTTTGGGAAAAAGAGACGACTTTCCGCAGAGCCTTCCCCCCAAGGCAGGGTAGCAATCACCCCAAAAAAGTGATGACATTGTCTTTTGCCTGTATCGCTTTTGAGGGGGGCCTATCGCTGTTGAATTCCAGAAAGACACTACCGCTCTCTACTAAATTTTGACAAATTTTGGTCCGATTCCCCCATATGAGGGTCCATGAGTGTCTAGGTGGCTGATGTTTCCTTTTGCCGAGTCACTGGCATAGACTGGCTCGTTCTTCCAAGGTTTACCGCCCTTCTTGACCTTTTCCATTTCCAAGGCCTCCGTTCCGAACGGTGCGCTCGGACTGTTCTGAGCTGTGTTTCAGTGGGCGCCTCTTTGGTCGAGACTATGCTGCCTCAGAAAGACCCGCGGTCAACCACTCCAACTGATCAGTCATCCAAGTCGAAATGGCCGGGAATTGAAGCGACGAGTGCCGCCACAGCAACTGACGTGCTCAGCGGTCTTTCATTCGGTGAGACCGGTCTAAAGGGGAAACCACCCACAGCTGCTCTTGACTCAAGGCCTTTGACACTAGTTGTGCTTGAAATAACAATTACCGCATGAGCGCAACAAATCGACATCTGTCATAGAGCAATCGATCACGTCACTGTTTTGCCCAGTTCAGCTGCCTGTCCTGCAATTTACAACAACAAACTGAAGGGGTGGGGTGGAATGTGTTGAATACAGCAAAATACATCAGTCTGTTTTGAGATCAGTATGCTTGAGCCGGCCCATATCCTCTCTGATCCATGTCGGATGAAGATTGACGGGATAGCACTCACAATCACTTATTATATATATATGCACCCAGAAGTCAAAAAGATCCCAAGAGTGCAAAAAGCTGCAGGCATGCTTTTTCCAATGCGCTTTGGTTGATGCTGGGGTCCTCCCCCAGACCCTGTATCGTTTAGTCCATTTCAAACTGCCCTGGACTTCGCCAGGGGGACAAGGGTGTGTCAGGCAGTAGGATTCGCCCGCCGCTGCCACAACACCCGATTGTCCCCTGGCCTCCCAGGGCCAAAAGGCACCTCGCGAGGTGCCAGGGGACAGGGTCGGGAGGACAGCCCACCGGATCCGGTCACGGGATCTTGGGTGGGCATCTAGGAAAAACCAGTTGAGGACAAAAGTTTTGTAGCGAACGGAAAAATGAAGAGAGTCTCCGGTGCCGGTAACCGGCGATCTAAGGAGAATCCTTCAAAGTCAGGATGGGTCAATTCATCCGCCCAGGTGTTGTATTCCCTGGGGATGTGGTTGGGAGCAATGCTACAGCCCTCACAATGAAGGAAGAGAACCAATTCCATGAGCAGTGCCGCCGAGTATGGTTTCTTGGCCGAGAGGTTGAGCAGGCTGAAGATGTTGCCTGAGTTGTCAAAGCCCCTTGCTCCTTCCGCCTCCGCATGACGGAGGGCCGTGGATGCTGCGTCCGCAGCCGCATCTAAACTCTCCATGCCCGGGCTACTGATTGTAGTGCCATCCTCAACGTCCGGCTGGGCATCTCGCACGGACTCAATCATGACATACTCCGGTTCCATTGGGTGCGCCATTGCGTCGTCGTCAGAAATCACCAATGTACTAAGGAGTTTTCTTCCCAAACTTCAGGTGCAATCCTGCGTGATTGCCACCAACTTGAGCCAAAATGTCCCGGTGGGACATTTTGTGAACTTCAGTGAACATAAAACTTGCATCCGGAAGCTACCTGCAAGTGTGAATATATTATTGTAGTCTATTATATTATATGATCCTTGTCAGGTGTGGCTCTAATGGCAGTTTCTTTCGGATTCCAAGATACCCTCAGGGCTGGTGCGTCATTCGTGGTCAACCAGTGCCTGAATGAGCCTAGGCCCGATTCGCCCTGCGCACCCCAGCGATCCAGAACGCTCAAAGCACCGAAAGTCCTGCACCATTTGCCGCCCTGCCTGACACACCCAAGCCACATCCTCCTGAATCGCTTCAACATACTCGGTCTCCTCCTCGTGCGTGTCGCGGTGCAAAGACCCATCAAGGGGTGGCAAAAGTGCCGCATTGGTTCCAGAAACAAGGCAGAAATATGTTTTCCCAATCCCCATGTTTTCTTCAAACAAATGAGCTCGCCCGTTCTGCCCTCGCACTGCCCGTTCTGCACCGTGTCGGGGTTCGTGTCATCGAAACGCAAGTTGCATTCTCCGCCGTACCTGGACGGTGTTGCGGGCGGAGAGGTCATGACAGGGGATGAAGCCACAGGGGTGAAACTTGTTTAAAAGCCCCGGGGGGGTAGGCCGAGTCGCCGAGGTAGCTAGGTAGCTAGTAGCTAGCTAGTAGCTAGTAGCTTGGACGCACGATAGCTCACGCTTCTTCAAGGAAGCTCCCCCCTCCGCCCTAAAGGCGGCGAGGGAAGCTTCCTTGAAGAAGCGCTCGCACTAATGATTTGGTTTCTAGATTTTTAGGGAAACTTAACAATTCACGGTTTTCTTGAAAACAATTGAAGTAGATGTCCTATTTCCTAAGCAAGTGGCACATGATACCACATAATAACAAAAACATACAAAAACCAATTACATCCTATTACCGTGACCACAATGGATTGAGATCTAAGAGCCCTCAAAAACCAACTTCCGTCTTATGCTAATCTGACTTCGACAAAGCAGGCCGTGCTCATTACGGATCTCCTACAACAACTTGAACATGTTGGCATTTCCCATTTCAGCTCCCATACACCACTTGGGCCTCCCAACTCTTCCCCAAATCCTAGGCTCTGCTCCCACCCATCCACCCCAGAAACCCCAGAGCGCTTGTGTGCCAGGCCGAAATTGATCATGATGGACTTAGCATGACCGATGTGCAAATAACCTGAGCCGGTCCACAGATGCGTCCGGGCTCGGGTCCGGCCCGGGACCGGTCGTCTCAAAGGCCGGAGGTAGAGTCATGGATGAATCAGCAGCAGCGGTCTGGTGATGCCTCATGCAAAGTATATCGGTAGCATGGCTTGTAGGTTCGTCTCATGCCCTGGCTTAGCATTTAAAACCAATCATCCCTTCAAAAGATGAAGAATGGGAGAACTTTATACAGAATATACGTATGTTATATATTATAAGGATATAGACAAGCTAAGAATCTCGCTGCCACCCTGAAGTATCTGAGCTCAGATCCAAGCTATCCCAAAACGACGCGCGAAACGACAGCGAGTCCTTTTTGTCCTTGTGTCGGAGAGTTCGTTCTCCCTAACTCAGCTGCTGGAAAGCGATAGATTACAATACTGGCACCCAGAATTTCACCACCAAAAGGCCGTAACGTAAATGGGCAGATGTGATGTTTGTAGTGGTGCAAGACAATTCTTGCTTCAGTAGTCCTACCCTTGCCACCCTCGCTGTGTCAAATTCTGCCGGACATGTGGCCGTTGGGCTCAGGGGGGAAGCGCGTGAGGACCTGCAGCGCGGAAGCAGCAGGCTTTGACGACGAACATGGTCCGACACAGAACATCGGACCTTGCTTGGACGAAATCTGTCTGGGCATGGCTAGCTGGACCCTAGGCCCTACTATGAATTGATCTCCTGTGCCGCTTCGAAACACACAACATGTTCTTCATCTTTTTCGCATTCCGGGCAGGGAACCCAGGGTTGGATTCTTCTGGGGAAAGTGGAGACCATTGGAGACCCAGCTCTAGGGCAGGGTTTTGACTGGGTGTTCACTCACCCCCTTGAGTGTGAAACCCTTCTGTTTCCAGGGGGTCGGTGAGTCACTGCGGGGTCCGCGCATGTCCGCGCCTTCTGCTTATGGCACCTGCCCTGAGGCGCCAAGTCCGCCTCTATCCTGAGTCCAGGTGCATGGTGGAGGGTTCTGCTGTTGACAACACTCCCAGTTTCCTTGGAACAAAGCTGAGCAAACAGGTGTCATTCTTGGACTTTTGGCAAGCCAATCCCACCCAAAAGGTGAAATAAATAGCAGCGTCTAGGGATCTTCTGTTCCGTGTTCAGTCGCTTGAAACGAAGCTCCGACCTCTGCAAACAAAACTTAAAAGTCCAAGAACATATTCCAAAAAAATCCAAAAGAACTAGCTCTTGCGCGCCCTGAGGGTGCTTGATGTCAAATGGCTTGTGCTTGTTGCTGTTTGTGCCATTCCATGACATCCCCCAAGAAACAAATATATATATATATATGCAACTTCAGGTTGGCTAATTAGGATTGGCTATATAATTGAATATATCTCAAGTTATCCCAGTCAGCGGATTCTGCAAATGGCTTAAGTTCTTCAACACAATGTGTTTCTCATAACCTACAAATGAGTTCAGCATAAACTCTCTATATATATATATATACATTCCTGCACCACTTGCACAAATGCTTACATAAAGCTCACAAAATGTTATGCCTGTTATGCAAGCCAAAAATTAACAATGACTTTAGAACGGGAACAATCCTTCTGAGTGAATGCCGACCTTCTCGTACCTGGCGAAGCCCACAGATCCGCCCCATTCGCTGCGGGCAGCGGTACCGTCTTATCTGACGGTTGGCACAACAAGAGACAGTGAAACATAGAAGAACTGCAGGTGATATCCAACATCCCCTTCTATAACAGGCCATTTCTATCTCTTATACGATCATAATGCACATTTTACATGTTAAGAATATAACACATAATCTGAATACCACGATCAAATAGAACATTGTTGTCCAGTACAAGGAACGTGACCACCTATCCAAATCGAGGAAACATGAAGAGCAACATCAAATTGATGAGGATGAATGAAAACTGTGAAATCGTGTACTTCGACGTTGGATTTCCATGCTCAGTGGCCATTTCTCCAAGAAGTTTCGTCCATCAGGAGGCCCTTCCTGACACAAGTTCCACCAGAGACGTAGGGAGATTCAGCTTCAAAGTCAGGACGAGTCGGGGGAACTTTGCTGTAGAATTTTATTTGGGGGAGTAAAATGGCTTTGATCAGTTGCATGGTTGGCAGGGTTGAGCCGGGAATGATCACCTGGAAGACTACACTTCAAACAACACAAACAGTACAAAAATGAAACATCATGAACACCTATACCCAGCAGAGGCTTTGGGCTTCTGTCTATTCTTGGGGGTACCCAATATCATCCAATATCTGTTACCAGGCATCCTGAAGGATCCAAGAATCAGCCAGAGTCCGCATGGAGCAGCATATATATATTATAAATATATAATAATGACAGTAATGAGAACAAAAATTACAATATATGACAATCATAATCTTAATATTATACATATTATTACATATTGCATCATATCGATCATATTGTATATACATGGAGTGTGTGGGATTGTCTGGGTATGCGATGGACTTGATCGTCGGATGTTCTTTGAGTTGTTCCCGCCCACCATCCGCTTAGTCTAGGTGAAACCACACAGGGCAAACAGTGAGTTGCGGTTTGAAGTATAAGCCGGAAAGTCTTCGATCACCAGTGCCCTCTCGCTGTATTTGGCCGGTTTGCCTCATCTGGCCAAATCCCTCACCAAAGCGTCCATAAGTGATACAGTAAGGTCCCAGTAGTGAATCCAAATGAACCAACCCGCTGCTGCTTCTTGAGGCAGCAACCAGAACCCGCTCCGAGCTGTTTTCAAGCAACCCGTGAACACGTTTTGACAGAATACTCATACTCCCTTTGGACGGATTCATGTTATCGGGGGAGTTACCTTTCCCCCAAAATAGGAACCACATGAATAGTGCGAGCGCTTCTGGCACTGCAAGGAAGCTCCTGATTTCCTGCGTCCGGAGCCTATAGCTACCTCCTACCTCTTACTATAGCTGACTATAGCTACTACGGCCTAACCCCCCTAAACGAAAGTGAAAGGTTCAGAATACTGCTGAAGTTCCTCTTCCCTTGTTCCATCACCTTGGCGACCCAACTTAATTTATCCTTCCACGACCCGCCACGCCTTTCCACTCGGAGATGTGGGTGCAGCCGCAGCTTTTGCCTGCACTCGGTCAAGCTGTGGTCTACAAAGGTCTCCATTTTGCCCCAGGTCACCACTGAGACTGAGGGTCCTTTTAGTGTCCAACAAGCCTCAAAAAAGAACCTGTTGGAGGGTCGTGGTAGCAGTTTGTGCTATTATATATGTATAACTATATATATATATACTGCGTCTTAAAAATAGATGGTTTTAAAAAAATTGCGCCATCTACGAGCTCCAGAGTACCACAGTAGAGTTGCGCCATCAGTAGGCATGCTGTCAGTATAAAAACAGGGCGAGATTTAAGCAAAAAGCTCTCGTACTCGGAGACCCCTGACTGCACGCTCCATCTATATGCTCCAGTTAGAAAGTAGAACTACAATAGCTGAATCTCTTGTGCAGAGAAAGAAAGAGAAAGAGAAAGAGAAAGGAAACGCAGGAGAAATAGTAAAAGACAGAGTAGGATGGGCGCCGATGGGCTTTGCTTTGGATGGCTTTGCACTGATGTGCATTGTGCCATCTATAGCGCGTTTTTTCGCTTGTTTTTGCAAGCTCATTTTTTCTTGCGTTTGCATTTTTGCACCCCCCTCTCCCTATAAATGCGCCATCTACAGGTGCAAAATAGCGAGGAAAATACATTGATGGCGCTCACTCCCTGGAACCCTGACTTGTGCCAGAAACTTTCTGGGCGGTGTATATATATTTACTCTGAAATCAGTGCAGATTTTGCAGCAAACGAGTTATGCTGGGCGCAAACGAGGTGAACAGTCTGCACATTCCAGCGGTTAGCTTTCACGAGACAATGCCCAGCTGGGCTTCAAATACATCCTCAGCAAGTGCGTGGACCCTCGACCCTCCTGGCAACCATCCTGGCAACACCTTGCATTTCGACACGGGGTATGTCGTGAAGTCGATACGATTTGACTCCTTCGGTCCTTCAGTCGTAAATAGAGTAAAAGCATCACCTGTCCTGGCTGGTTGCACTCGCAGACTTGGAGACTTTGGAGGCCTGAGAGGCGACGCCAGGCATGTCTCGGACGAGTCCAAGCCAAGCCTCTGAATCTGACAGTAACAATAAGCTACTAGGAACAAGTGCATCGCTTCTAGTAACAAGTGCCTTACTAGTAGTAACAAGAAGCTACTACTATTATTTTAACATATTTTAACTAGAATCAATTTGGAACGACCTGAATTTTTGAACGCCCAACCCCAGAGGCGGGCCCTCCAATTTCGAGATCTTCGGCTCAAATGGTGCAACCCTGAATGCCCAAAATGAACACATGGATGATTAAGGATTGACCCATGAGTCAAATGCCAAGAAAGGACGCGGATCAAAGATTTCTAGGTTATCTCAGTTCCAGCTAAACTAATTAGCAAACTAACTAACTGGTTGATCTTGCAAACAACTCCCCATCCGCTCTACCTGAATCCAGTAGACAGTAGACTTGCCTGAAACTGAAACTGTCAACAAGGCTCTACTTCTGACTCCTCCTCTCCCTTCCACCTACTCTGGACGTTGTCAATGGCTCAAGCATCAACTCTACAGTTCTACAGATACCTGCTGCTTCCATGATTCATCCTTCCCCTTTCAGACCACCGGAGCCTCCTGAAGGCTTTCCTCGGGTGGGCGCAAGACCACCGGAGTTCCTGCGAGCGGCTTCCACCGAGCGCTCACGACGCCGTACCAGCCTTGACTCACTGGACAAGCCCAAAGAGGACACTGGGGGATTCCAGGAGCTTTTCTGTTCTGCTTTTGGTTGGATCAGTGAGGGATGCGATATGTTGACCCGTGGCATGTGGGTCCAGGACTGGACGGTGAGCCTCGTTGACTCAAGAAGAACAAACATGGACCAAAAAAGATGCCAGCAGGATGTCGGCCGTGGAGCCAATGAGTGCTTCTTTGAGCAACCCAGCCACCTCATGGTGTTTATCTTCCCTGCTGCAAGGCCTTACGATACCCTGGGAGTCCAAGACCTTCTAAGAATTGTCTTTCATGGTCTTTCAGTGATCCGAAAAAGACATGTCCTTTACTTTGGTGGGTGCAAAATGGAGTCGAAGTGGACCGTAGGGAATGGATGTGCAAGGACCTCTCCCCAAACCCTCAGCCAGCCATTCAACCAATGGAGCACTGTCGGACAATGACGACAGGTCGATATCGACCTATGCTGGTCCTTTCCAATGGATTAGTTGAAGGGAACATCTACAGGAAACCATGGCTGTTACCACCAAAACTATGGGTTTCCTGTGGCCGTTCCCTTAAACTTAAACCACTTCATACCAATTCTATCCGATATTCTATCCAATACTGTCCTTTCCAAAGTGAGGCCAAATTCACCCAGATGCTACAGGAGCTCTGGCACCAACCCCTGGCCTTCCTCTCCGCCCACCCCCGCTTGCTTCCCTCGGGAAGGACCTCCGAAAGGGATGCCCAGCTGGGCCAAGTAGGCCGCACTCATGGCGTCAGATCCGACCAAAAGGTGCTCTGAATGCGGTCCCTGCGACCAACCTGTGACCAAGGCCCTGCGACCCCTAGCCTGCTGGGCCAAGATCGAGAACGACAGGGCCTCCAAACTGTCCAAGCAATGCTCGCAGTAGCTACTAGTAGCTGGTGAATGTCTTGCAAAACTTTTGTTGAGATGATGTAACGCTTGGACCTGGAAAGTGAAGAATCCTGTGCATGTTCTTTCTTCCTGGGCCCGGCGTCCATCAGATAGACCGACAAGAGTTCGGCCGGACTGACGCACGAGTTGCTGTAACATGCTGTAACTGGTTCTGGATTGGGATACCTGGCTTGGCTGTGGTTTCTCGATGCCAAACATAGCCACATCCAGTTCTTTGGTGATAGTCCCCCGGTCTATGACTCCTTGAATTAATTTAAATTATGATCATAGGACACAACTCATCACACAAACCCTCTGCGATCATCCACATTTCTACACCAACACTTCGGAGCGCAACCCCTGTTGTAGTGAAGAACCGTTGTCGCGTGTCGCATGTCCTCGTTTTCGTTTGTGTTCAGCGGTTTGAGGACGTGAAACACCCTTGAAGTGTTTGCATCGGCACCCTTTCTGCATCACCCATTGATTTGCTTCAGAGCTCAGGGAAGGGCAATGAGACTGACTCAATCAACTGACTGGCATTTCGACTGGTCATGACCCGACCCACGGCTGTAGACGCTTCGCGCATAGCGCGGGCTTCGCTGGTCTCCGTTGGGTTTGACCGAAGCGAACACGTCTTGGCCACCCTTCAACATGCAAACCGTAGAGTCTCGTCTTTTCGGATCTCGTTCGGCGCAAATCTCTAGGCAACCAGGGGTCAAATGCAGCGAAGCAGATGAGGACGCAAAGCCTGAGGCCTTATGTGATCTTATGTAACCCCAATCCTTACGCTCCCTGAAATAATCATGGAAATGGATCGTCTGGCCCCGAAAGAATGACCATGTTCCTTTACAAACAGGTGGTGCCATCCACTTCCATGTTAAGGGAGTGTAATCCCTTTGCAATTGGCACGGCTGGGAACCGGTCCGACCTGCGGTGTGAAGCAACAAGCCATGTTCATTCATGTTCATTCAACTCGAACAACACTCGCCACCAACAACTCCCGACATAATTACAGGCAAAGCCACCATAGATCTGACGCGTCTTAGACAGTTGGTTTCTGGCCTCCTTTGGGCAGATCTTTTCAGGGAGTAAAGCCCTGCGATCTTTACGAACACATTCTTCAGCTCATTGAATTCATCTGCATCCTCTTTGTGCAACCCTAGATCATCCCTGCGAGCACAACTTGGTCGGCTCACCCATAGGTTGGTGATGATTGGTTCCACCCGTGACGCAGGACTACGGCACGTCTGAACCAGTCAGGCGGTCATGGCCAACAACCATGAAACATTGTCAGGCGGATGGTTCCCCGTCTCCCCAAAAAGGCTTGAGAGATGTCATGTTGCGTGCTGAGATCTACATGGATTGACAAATCATTCCCTGACATGCACTGCCTCGAATGGAGTCTATGTTGGTTTGTAGAGATCCATGTTCAGTTCTTTCTGTCAAAATAATGTTTGGCAATGACTTGACATTGACAGCCTCCAAAAAGGCAGGCTCACTCCAGCTACTCTGCCATGATCTTGTTGAGCTGCTTTAGGATCTCTCGCACCTCCTGTGCAGCTTCGCGACTGGACAACCATCCAGGGTGGTCCTCTTCCCAAAGGGTCAAAATTCATGAAACCGCCTACATTTGGATGGTAACACCTCTTCATATATAGGGTGTTTTCCCTAGTGCTCCAACTACCTCCTGAGAAGATGGCTGGGGTGAGTTTGTGGGGTCTGATGGTCTAACCACCTTCTGAGGATATAGTTGGAGCCCTAGTAGAATTAATCAGTTAACAGGAGTTCAATACACACTCATGTCCCGCATTCGAATCAAAATACCCGCCCCCTAGCCGTGTGGGATCGAGCAGGTTCAGCTGAACCTTTTGAATTAGGTGGGGTTAAGACACCAAAACTCCTTCTGAAAGCAGTATATAGTTTTTGCTGTTACATCTCTTCCTCTCAGCACTTACGAGTCCGTATGAGTCTGACACTGCCTATCCGGCCTACCGGTATCTGGAAGTCTGCCCGGTGCCGCCCTCGAAACCACACGGGACCCCAAAGCCATCGAATGCCTGGTGGGAGCAAGGTCCCCTTCCAAACACTTTGCTTTTCCTTTTGCTCATCCGAATAGGCGAATCGTAAGAACACCGACCCCAGCTCGCCCACTTCACTTCCATTCGGCTGACATGCACTTATACTAATACGTCCTAAAAACAGCATCTAAACATTCCTAAACTACAAACCGAAGCCTCTTCTAAGCCAACTCCCAAAAGATCTCTCCCCCTACTTTGTCTCATCTCTTCCTTCAACCTCCCAACCAAAAACAAAGCACACTTCTCACTACTCCTCCAAACCACGGCCATCCTCGCATCCTCCTTTTGATGGACTCCCGCCACCTAAAACGCCACGGACTCCTTGCGCAGCTTAAAGAGATCGATGGAGCGTGCGACGCCGTGGAACTGCTTGATGCCGATGGCGAACTCGTCCTGAAAAACGGCGACGACCCGTGGGAACCGTCGGCTCGGTGTTCTCAAGCGGGGTCTCGAGCCGTCTGGTCTCTCGCGGGGGCCCCAAAAAGACAGACTGCGTGGAAGAAAGGACCGTTTTGTTTTTGCAAAGTGAAGCTGATAGCCTTAAAGACATGTTGAGATGGTCAACTTCCAAAGTTAAAATCTACATGGCTAAATGTATTCAAATGTCTTTGATGGATAAACAGTCGGACAAGTTATTCTATAATTACTTGGAGCCTCCAAGTGTACCTAATATGTTTGCCGCAACCCGATGCACAAGGCAGTTTAGTTTGACAAGTTTGACCATGGTCTACTCGTAACTTGGCCGAAGAAAAGGCATGAATCATGATTGAGACCAGAAAAATGATTGAAACCAAACAAGTACTTGGACCATCCTGTCTGGGTGTCCAGGTGTAAAATCCTTAAGCAGTGTATGTAGGGCAGCCAGGCCCAGACAGGATGGTCCTCGTACGCTTCGATGCTTGGTTCTTGAGATTGTTTGCCCTGAGGGCGTGGCTCCGCTCACATATGTCCCTAAAGGTTGCTTTGGCTGTTCCCCTAAGGTCCATACAAAACCAATCCAGGGCGGGCCATCCGGCCATCCATGGGGCTGGAATAAATACCTACATTAGGGTGGTAACTGTATGGAACATTATAGAACTATTCCACTCCCATGGATGGTCTGGGTGTGGTCATGATCATTCGCGCAATCCTTCGGAGGTCAAAGACGCGGTGAAACAGGCCATTCTTGAGGTGCGCTCTGACTGTGCCTTTGTAGCCTGACCAACCATAGTACCAAACCTTATTGGGAATTGAGCTTCCAAGAAGGCAACTAAGAATGAGTGGCACCTGTAGCCATCAGAATCACCCCGCAGCCCAAAAGGGATGATGCTCCTGATCAATACAGCCGCTGTCGTCGATGTCAAAGAGTTCCCACAGCTCGTCAGTGTTCGTCGTTTCCTTGGAGAAATCAACAAAGAAATCACGGGCACCTCTAGGAAAGCATCATAAGAGGGAGGAGGAACTCCACAAAAGCACATCGAAGAGAGCCGCAGATCAGCAAAGTAGAACTTGCCGTACATAAATCGACGAGCATGACTGTGCGGTATATGCTCCTTCAACATGGAAATGGATTTCCCAACATAGGACCCCGCAGTTGGGGAGTTACAGGCGATCTGCCAAATGCCCTCAGTTTGGGATTTGTGAAGCTTAAAGACTGTTGATGCAATGAAAAGGTTCTGCCATCCAAATGGGGGATTAGTTCTCATGAGTCCACAATGAGTCTGCATTAAATGGCAAACCATTGTAAACCTATTCTGTTCAACAACATGTTGCCCATTTTGCCATAGCGATCCTTGAGCCGCATGGTCATGAAAGAACGGCAACACGCCCCGGTTTCAACGAGGTCATGTCATGGAGGAAGCCCAATGGATCCAATGGATGTCCCATCCACAAAAAAATGAGCTGTGATAAGTTGAATGCTTCAAACTTGCTTGACTCACTATCCAAGAATCCAGGTCATGCTTGGTGGGTAACTGTTTTAAATGGTTTGGTCATGACTTGCATGCTGCTGGCTTTTTGTTCGCCATGTTACTTGCATGCTTCAGTTGGAATCGCTGAGATCTTTTGGTTGCCTATGTACTGTGCCTGTAACAAAACCAATGGTGACCACCAACACTGGATGCTTTAGGTCTATTCCGGGGTCTCGTTCGGGTATCGTTTGGGGCACTATTGCTATGCTGATCTGGTGGGGACACGGTCCACACCTGGTCCGCTCATCGCCGCCTGTCCGCCCAGTGCACCCGGGTATGGTCACCCAGGTTCGGCACCATAGCAACTAGAATCAACTAGACCATACCTGTGGGAAGGGTCGTGGTTGGGAATTCCAGTCTGAACTTTGCTATATGACCACTGTTCGGTCTCAATCTCAACAGACCAACCCCACCCAGCAAACACCAGCCCACATGTGAACGACCCGCAGAGCTTGGGGATTAAGCATCGGTGTTGATTCCCAAGTGATAGAAGCAGGTGTTGATCCGGTCGGAGTTCGTCACCTCAGAAATGACACATCCATCCGCTCATGAAGCTCTTCAAGCAGAAAGGGGGGTGTAGGTTAGAGTGGAAGCACATTTCTATTCCACCAGAATGTGGGTGGTTTTTTCAGTGGAAGCCCCTTCATCCAATGGATATCCACTGGGTTTGGGGGTCCTTGCCACTTGCAGACAGTCTTTTTGGGGTCGGAGAACTCGCCGCGTCGCCACTTCAAGGCAAAACGACCCCACACGACTTCAGAAGTTGATAACTTGATTGTTACTATAGTAGTAATGGCCTCCAACCTAAGAGCGATGGCCTCCAACCTACTAGCGATGGCCTCCACCGGTCGTAGCTTCTTGCTACTAGTAGCGGGGACTAGTAGCGGGGGGAGCGGGCTAGCCAAAAAAGGCACCAGGGTGGTTTCTCCTGGAAGAACCATGTGTTTACCATCCGGTAGTTCTCCTTGGGGTGGTGATGGCTAGAGCATCATCATTACTCTTCAATAGATATAGAATGATATAGATTCTGTATGGCATGCATGGAGTGTCTGGGAATAAAAATACAATTTGTCGGTGGTGGGGGTTGGGTGCAACTGCTGCCTGACCTTCACCTCTATTCTGGATTGTCAAGCTTGTTCACAAACAGGCAACGGAATATGTTGTTTTGCATAATGCTATTTACAATTTTGATGCGGAAGTTATAAGGTACTCTTTATGGATGCGAAAGTTATTTAGTTATGTTTTTATGGTTGTTTATTCGATTGCTTCTGGGTTATCATGTTCATTCATGTTCATGTTCATCCGACCTGTTACCCCTACCCCCACCCAAAACAGGCGCCATATCAAAAATCTGGCAAGGAACATGGTAAACAAAGTCGTCCTTCGTGAGCTTGGCGTCCTTCTCCACCGAAATCTTCGAAAACAACTCCTCAAAATCACAGCGGGAGAGTGGGAGGGGCGCGCTGAGAACGGTCTCGCACCAATACCAAAGCACATCGATCCCCCCAACAAAAGGAATCACCAAAAAGAGAACATGTCCAAAGCGCCTATTTCGTGCGTTCGCACGTGGGACGTGGGCAAACATGGGCTTCTTGAGGACTGGACTGGATGGTCCAAATCCAGCGCGTTGTTTGGTTTGAGTTGAATATCACATTCTGGTAGTGGTTTCGACTCACTTGAAAAATATGAGTCAGTGGGTTGAAAAATCCCAAGCGAAGGTTGAACATCAAAAACACACGGTTTGTTTCACCACCCAGCATATGGGATTCTTCAGGAATGCGGGACTGATTCTTATTCAAAAAAGAACGTGTGATCAATGTTTACAGTTCTTGCTCCACCTCATGATGTCTATGCACAATTGTGGATCGATTTGGGTCCAACCTCTTCCAAAGCATCATGGGGCTCTCCTAGTTTCAAACTTCCGCACGATTCTGAGCATCTACATCAACTCTATCCTCCTCTGATTCGTAAACATTTTCAGGGCCCACCCTTCTAGCTCGGATCACACTCACATATCCCTGGTTTCGCATCCTTTTCTTTCAGTACATGACCACCTGGTCTTCATCAGCGAGTCTTTTCTCTCGTTGTATACAACGAACATATTTCGGCTACACTCATGTCTTGCATCCAACCCTTCAAAGGGGAAAGAAAGCACACACCGCTTCTGCATAGAAGTGCGAGAAGGGCCATGAAGAAAGCACACCATCTTTCGCCAAGTCGACGAACTCCAAGTCGATCATCCACACCAGTCGGCCACGCGGCCGACACGGACGGCCCATCCCATCCCATCGTCCAAGGCGCTGCCACTTCGGTGATCCACTTCTGCCGCTCCTGTCGACTCCCGGTCGGGCCGAGATCGGTCGGGTGGCTGAAGACGTCGACGGCGAACAGCGGCGCTTGCTGGAACGGGGGCCCGCCGCATGGCCGGCCCGGCCCGGGAAGGCATGAGTTGAGTTTGTGTCGAAGAGGGAAAAGGCAGGGAGACCTTCTTGATCCTTCTTGTATCTTTTTGGAAAGGGAATCCACCTGCCAATCAGATTGGAGTCGGAAGCAATGAGGTCCTTTTCGAGTCCGAATCGAAACGGGATGAGAAGGGAAAGGACCCACATCCATTTGGGGCCAGTGGGTCCTCCTGTTAAGATACACACCCACATCTGGAACGTCCAGATACGCGTCAGCGTCGTTGGGCATCACCGATCATCGGCTTCACCGAAACGCCGCCTTCATCGCCTCATGGTGCATGGCCTGACGGAAGAAGTCCAAGCTCGGAATGCTCGGGTCGGGGCAAAAACCTTGGATTCTGTAAAGGTTTTGGTAGGTTGTACGTGATTCATGATGATTCTATGATATTTTAACACTTTGATAGGAAAGCCACCCAGTTGGATTTTGTGAAACACAACATTCTTCGTACAGACCTGTACAGCAACCTTCTCCCTCAGTTTCTCTGGTACACTTAAAGGTTAACCTGTTTCCACCTGTTGCATCTCCCATACTGGCCCTTGTGACCAGCACATCGCTGACACTCTGGTCATACGACGTAAAATAAAGAACCCCAGTGAAACCGAAAAGTGCATCAAGTAAGGCAAGTCGAAAGCGGAAAGGACCAAGTCGCTAGGCTCTGGCCACATCCTTCGAGAAGGATGGCGGCAAAAGAGCCCAGTTCATCCGGCTGAATCAATGGACACGCTCCGAAGATGGCGCCCTTTGGAAGTGCGCGTCCGCACTTATATGCTTCAGTCGCAATGTATGTTTCCACCTGTTGGTTTTGGGTGCCACCAAAAAAGGTTTGGCAGGTTATCCACTTTTCCTGGGTAGGGCAAAAGACGAAAACCTACCTCAATCGCAGCAGTCCAGTGAATCCCTTTTCACAACTTTGTATCAACTTTTCACTCACGGATGAAAACGAATGATCTTTGACGATGTCCTGCCATAAACTTCTGCACACTCACACACGGTCAGTGAAACATAGAACCTGAACATGGACCACTGGAAGACTCATTTGTCATCTCTAGTCCTCTTCCAACGACGGTGGCCAGACTGGTGCGACGATGTTCGACGCGAAACGGTGTCCGGTGCAATTCGGTTGAACGGCGGTGATTGCCCTCGCTGCGCGGAACCGGTGAACGGAGCTTGACTCGACCGGAAGGAGCCACGAAACAGGATCTTGAGGGAAGGAATGCTGCCAGAGAAAACTAACCCGCGAAAAGTCTAGGAAGTGGGGGCACTACCAACTTCCGAACTTCCCTCATGTGTTTCTCATTCCCGACAGGGATGACTCGAGATTCATGCCATGAGATTCTGCTCACAAAACCAATCACTCACGACAAGCAACTCCACAGTCGATTCGGTCTGGTAGAATTTGCAAGATCTTTGCAACTCTGAAGGTGTCCACTTTCATTGGGGGGATAGTCATTATAAACTATAGTCATTTGCCAAAGGGGTCTTCTGCATCTTCCCACGCGGTGAACAGTATAAATATATGGTATAACCTGAAGAAATCAAGTTTGGATGTCTTGGAGCAGTTCACATGCGGAATATGCATGGTTCACATGTCGTTGCATGTCTCGAATCAGTTCCAGTGTTTCACCGGTGAAATCCTCCCGGTGCTTCTCAACACCGGTGCCGGGGGGGACCTCGAAACCTCGAGAAGATCACCACAGGGTGAGTGTTTTCACTTGGAACATCACTCATTTTGATGAGGAAACTGTTCTTCCTTGCTATTAGGATAAATCATGAATGAACACAACCAAAACCGACCGACCTCTTCGTCTGCCACTTTCAAGGCTTTTGCGTTGTCCACCTCAGATCGGGGGGGTCGGCCGCGGCTGCGCTGACGTTGCGACGAAAGTACAGCGAATGACATGGCTGGTTGAAAGGACTCACTAGGCCAAACATGGAATATGGTAGAAATATATATATATGCAGATGCATATGTATTTACTAACTTATAGATACTAACTAGATTACCAGATAGACCCCCGCATCAACCACTCCAATGTATATGCCAGTGTCACTGCCAGTGTCTGGGAGGAGTCAAACAACTTCCTCCAGTTTGATTTGCGTTCCCCTACCAGGATGAACCGCATTCGGCGCCGTTTCTCCTTCGGCGCGGTTCGGGGAGACCTGTGAGCCTTGAACGTCGATATTCCTTACGAGTCGCACTAGTCAGTATATAGTTCAATTGACGAATGGTCAGTATTTCAAACCATGTTCAAATGTCCAGGTGGGGTCATCTATCTTTAACTGGTGGGGCCATCTTCCTTTCTTGCCGTCTCTTTTCAAGGTGAATCCAGGCGTTCTGCTCCAGCTCTAACTCAGATGCAACGTACCAGGAAATGCCATTGGTAAATCACGTGTTTGGACGACCTTCACTGCACATTACTTCGCATTGATTGGGCACCCATGGGACGGTAATAACAGAGACTCTGGGTGGCTTTCAAAGCACTGAACCCACTGAGATAGTCCCATGAAAGTAGGATAAATTTGGTTGTCGTCAGCAGGCTTGTGGTTTAATGAATTCCACATCAGTTTGAATCATTTTGATACATCATTTCACAGGTCTTCTTGAATACAACCAAGGAGAAACTATAAATCGAAGCGAACCAAAGAGACTCAAAAGTGTTCGCATAAGGATCTTTGTCTTGCTGACCGGAGCATGCTCAGTCGTTGGCATCTCATGGTGGGTTTCCGCCAGGTCAACGACGTACAACGACACTTGGGACCGGACAAAAATGCCCGTGACGATGTTGAGGCAGCAAAAGACCTGGCACCATCATGCGAAGGAAGAAACGCATGACCACCTAAAGCCCTCAGGACACTTCATAGCGGGACGATGTCCTGTTCTTGTGGTGCATACTGGTTCTTGCAACCGTCGTTTATCGTCGTTTGCATGAAACTTGAGTACTTATTTATATATTATATATATACAGGAACATCGTGTCCAGGGACGCGAGTCCTTTTGTTGATCATTCAGCACGAATCAAGCCAGCGACTTGCCACCTCTGGATGCTATACACGCGCTATATTGCAACTTGTTCCGCCTCTGGATGCTAGACAAACACCCATATAAGGCCTTATATTGCATCCTTTTGCCAGTCGTTGTTTGTTTTCAGCAGAGCTCGAACTTGGGCAGGAAAACACTTCGGATCCATGGAATGGAGTTCCAAAGCTTACAATTATTTTCCTTCACACCTTCAAACCAAATCCGAGCGCCACGCCCGATGTCATGCCCAGGTGTTTATGTATCTATTTTCGTCAAGATACGGTGAAGAAGACATAGGCTGAGAAGATGTATTCCATCCTCAGCTCTCGATTTGAAAACGACATGACTTCACTTGCTGATCTTGCTGTTGATTACTGGCCGCTCGAATGGACCAGGATTTCTGCTGGGTTTCGGAACCATTGGTAGCCTACCACAGTGGGAATTAGACCCACTGGCTGCAAGTATATATAGAAGTACATTATAGTTGTCAATGGCTCTGGATGCTGTGCAATCTGATGGGCTAGCTAGCGGGAAAATCATCAACAGGGCAGCAGTGCTAGCCGATCAGCCCTCTACCACCTTCTTGCTACGTAGGTCTTTCTTGGGCAGTTTCTTCCGCACCACCTGCCAGGCAGATGCAAAAAAACACAAATCACCACAACACAACGAGTTTTCTTCATAGTTCTCCTCCGAGTTTTCCTCAACGGTCTCCTCCCAGTCAGCCGTTTTTTTCCGACGGGCCAGAGCCGGCTCATGGGCGATCATGTTTTCCCGAACATGGGCGGCTTCTTTCGAGCGGAACATCCAGGTTTCTAGGGAAAATTCCGAGGAAGTTTCGTGTGCTTCCTTATGGGAAAAAAACACACAGAAGAAATAATGAACAACTCTATAACACTTGGTGGTCCAGTTGTCCAGAGTGTTGGTCTTGGCAAAAAGCATTGAAAGAAAACAACGATGAACAACACTGGGTGGTCCAGAGTGGTGGTGTCGGCTTGTCTCGGCTTCTCTGTCTTGATTAGTACGCGTCGCCCAGGCGAAGAGTCTTCGCCCAAGGATCCACCCGCCCACGGAGGAGAGCACCAGAACAGCGTTGTCCCAATCAATTCCACCGGAGATGGCTTTGTACCTCGTCTCGAGATGAGACTCAAAGAGTCCAAAGTGAGTGAAAAACCCATCGACGGACGCGCACGAAAACGCGCATGCTCAGCACGTGGACGGCGACTCAACGACTCATCGAATCGGGCCAGGTGAGTCCACGTTCATCAAACACGCAGGGTCAACTGGTGTGAAAGCGGTGAATCACTTCGAATTGTTCTGTGGAGTTTGCTTGGTCTCTCCCCAGAACACGGAGACATAGAAAATGCAAACACCAAATTGCGGTGTCGACCCTCCTAGATTCCTAGATACCAACCCATCAGTTTGACTAACATATTTACCAATCAGTGAGGGTGGTTGACCTGGGGTCAATGTAGGCATATGTTCCGGTGTCATGGATTGTCTGGGTATGTAAACGGTGATCGTTGGCTTCACCCTCTGCGACGTCATCCTGCTCCTCAGGCCCTCAGTTCAAGTCTCTAAGAGAACATCTGAAGAAACACATAGACCAACACCACACAGTTTGGATGGATATTGGATGGTAAACACATGTAAACACCCATGTTGCATTGTTCGAAAAGAGCGAAAACATGATGTCTCTTCAGTGCCTGGCAACACATGCGGACAATGACCTCCACTCTTTCATGCAAGCTACGTATGTATGGACTGGGAGACTACCACAAACACCCCCATAGTGCCTCATGTAATTATATATTAATGACGACGGTGCATATTTCAGAAAAAAGGGAACCCCTTGGATTTGCTCTTTGCAACGTGCTGCAGTCTGGAGACCAGAGCTTCACCTCTTCCCGGACGGCACGTCACTCAGTCCCTCCGGCCCACTGCCAATTCACCCTCCCAGCGTCCAAACACCGTCCGTCTTTGTCCTCGTCCCGAGAATTCGGCACCAGGAGCCCCTAGTAGCGTCCTTGCTCCTAGTAGCGATGCCAGGAGTCCCTATAGTAGCTTCTTGTTACTAGTAGTAAGGACAGGAGCCCCCAGTAGCGTCCTTGCTCCTAGCTCCAAGGGGCAAGGTGAGCATGGTGCGGGGTAGCGAACCGAAATGCTGCAGCCTCGGCGATGAGACAGGCTGATGAGAGGGGTCAATCTCGTGACAGGCGGATGCGGACAGCCCATGTGGTTCCTGGGTTTATCACAAGAAAGAGATGTCCACATCCTTTCCATCATCTTCGGAATCACACTTCAGCGCCAGCCACTTTCGCAGCCTCCCCAGGAGGAACCAGCAGGAACCCAGCACTCCATGCTGCAATTTCAGCATCAAATGACTCTCCGTGGTCCAGTTTCCGCCGCAATTTTGGTGCTTTCTGATCACCTGTACTTCCTTAAAACCAAAGCCCATGTTCGACCCCTGTTCCATGTTGAATTACCTCAATGATACTCAGTGGCTTAGGCACCAGTGGTCTCCAATGACATGGGTCTTGCCCATAGGGACTTAGGCGCCATTAGCCGCTGTTTCCTGACCAAACAAAACGACATGCCCTGAAAACTGCTGCAACTGGTGCCTTTTCCAGGATGTTGTGGTCAAGTCGAGATCAAACACATCCGGCCTGTATGGGGTCATCTACCCCGCCAGGACCCCAACTGGGGCTTTGAGCAATCATTTCTAGGACTGTAATGCTCCTGTACAGTATGTCCTGCAGTCACAAATATACAACTCTTGTTTATGCCGTAGGCGAATACCTTTTCAACAATCTTTCTAATGCATCTAGCACGGCTTCTATCAACTTGGGCACCAATACACCATACATCACCATACCATATCCAGCCCCAAGGACACACGCCGCTGGGCCACGAAATGCCAAGACACAGTTCTGAATGTGCGGTTGCAGCTGGTGATGAATTCTTCTTATGAAGCGAGGCGAAGCTACTAGTACCATCTGCGGGATAGATCTAGTTGATTCCAACATCAAACAAAAAGGGTAGAATAGACTGGAAGAAGCCAACAACAAGCCTGCCACAGGGATCCACCGGCACGTTCATGAAGGAACTCAAGGGGTGGTTCACGAATCATGTAAGGTCACACAAATGTTGGAGATCACAAAGCACCTGCAATACCAGCATCATCTTCAGCTGTGGTTCAGATCAGTGGACAAATTGGATAAACTGCCAGCTCTAGATTGGCACCTTGCGTGTCAACTGTGTGCTTTCTCATTGTTCAGAACCGCTCGCATCGCCGGAAACATTCGGAAAGTGTCCAGGAAATCCAATGACAGCTGCATAAAAAGAACGCCGAAGAGGAAGTTCACCAAGACCAGCAGGAGCAGTGCCCAACAAAGTGACTGCCGAGTCAGCGCGAGTCGGACGCGTCGCTGGGATCAACATCACCAATGGTCACCCTGGACATCACCACACGATGAACCAATTAGCAAGATGAACCAAAGAACACAAGGCAGTGACGGCGGTGTGACCTGATTGTGATTGAATCTTCAAGAACAAGTCGCCCCTGTCGCCCCACACATATTGAATATATATACTAAAGGTTTCACGCCCTGCAGAAAGGACGGCTCCAATGATTTCGGTGCGTCGCCGTTCTTTTCCGGGTGGGTTCGTGCGTTGAAAGCTGGCAAAACAGATCCTGCGACTGGGGTAGCATTCGGAGTTACGTGGCTGTTGACATCGATTGACAAAGTGAGGCGGTACACCTCATGGAAGCTGGGTCTGGTCATACAAAAAAACACTACTCAGCAGTGACGTCAAGGGCTAGGTCTAGGTTCACTTGGTCCTTGGAGCAGCAGGGTTGAAACACAACATGATCAACTCATGCTGACAGTTTGAGGATTTGCACCAGTGTCATCAAACATGACGGGAGACGCCTTGAAGACTACAGGAGGAAACAACATGGACCACTAGACATTGAATGATCAACCAACCACACAGCATTTGGATAGTCCTGTGGCATATTGGGGTATTTCATGTCTCCCTTCAACATATCATTTTGAGTGCTCCCTTGAAAATGGGTCATCGGGTCAGTTCGGCGGAGGTCATCGGGTCGGCCAGTTGTCCGAACCAATGATGTCCGACCTTGGGAAGGATATGGGTCAGAACAGAGGGGCCAATGCCAGGTATCCTTTGGGGATGGGTCGTGACCACCATGTTCACCCGACCAGGCCAGCCGGTAGTAGCGAGTTCGACCTTCCAAGTCGGTCCACCGGTCGGTCTCGGGTCTCCCCTCTACTCAGCTTCGGTGCCATCCGACCTTCGCGGAGCCAATCACGCCATTCACCATGACCTCGCGGGGATCAAGACACGCGTCACATGAGAGATCACTGTCTCTTCGATGGCAACAAAAAATACAGAGTTGTCTGGAGGGTAGCCTTCTGACCACATGTTTACATGTGTTTACCCTTACACTATCACATGACCTCAACAAAAATCTGACCTCAACTGCAAATTGGGCTCCTTCGCACCCCAGCACACCAGGGACCTTGGGCCAATCCATTTTCCCAACCATGCCCGACCAAAAGAGGCCCTGTTTAAACAAAATGGGCAGGTTTAGTTTGTGTGTGTGTTCAAGGTGGAAAACATTCATTTCCTGGATTTGGTGAAATTTGTGGCACATACAGTAGAAATTCTGTGTGTTATTCTTCAACACAAGACCCAGTTTAGTGATCAGCCTGTTTACCGATCTTCAATTCCATGTTTTATGATGTTGTTTGCCATTCATGACAACTCCAAATTTGTGCATTGACATTTGTATAGCAAGACATTGCCTGAATTTTGTCAACTTGTTCGCCCTGGTCATATTTAACTTACCGTTCTTAAGGTTGAGGACGTGGTGATGCTATAGACACCCCTTAGGGGGCTCTGAGATCATCTGAGTTTTATGTTCGTTTCTCTTGAAACTTGAAACACCCCACTCGCCCGGACACTGAGGTGCAACACCCGGTGCCCAACACTCGCCACTGGTTGCGCAACCGGGCGGCGCGGAGCTCGGAGAAGAAGCGTACCACACGAACGATGCGCAGGATCCGCGCCAGGCGAACCATGCGGAGGATCTTCAGCCCTGGCCAAGCAGTGCGGGAGGGGGCGAAGGCGAAGGCACCAAGCGGGGTAAGCTGGAGAGGGAGGAGAGGGGGAGGCATGGCGCTTTTTGGTGTCCGTGTTGAGGTGATGGTGGAGAGGTACATGGCTGAGTTTTCCTCCGTTTGAAAGAAGATTCTCTTGGGTTCCGAGCATCCCGGCCTGAGATCTGGACACTGCTATTCAAGAACAGGGTGATGAGCTCCTGGCAGGAGATCCGTGCCACATGGATGGATTTTGTTGAAGAGTAGATAGCAGAAATTCCTGGGCCCAAGAGTGTTAAAGCATGTGGTCTCACAATTAATTGGAATCCACACATGCATCCGAGACAGCCATATATTTATATATATTTATATATATATATATCCCAAGGGTGTGCACCCGAATGATGTGAACTGAGTAAAGTGAGCACCTGTGGCACTAAGTATATACAGTATATACGGTATATGCGTAATAAGTATGTTGAATAATTTTCAGCAAATTGTTCATGGTAAGCATCACTCCATGTTCTCGAATGTCTGAAAGTTCCTTTTCTTGTGTCCAAGTGAAGCCTATAGAAAATGATATATTTTAAAGTTCTGCACCTACCCCCAGAAAAAAAAAAAAAAACGTGTATATGATTGTATATGTATACTGTAGATAGATTACACAAATCAACAAAAACAAAAACATATCGAATCCATCGAGCCTCTGCAATAACTTATATATGGTGCAAACTTCAAGAAGAATACAGTAACACATCTGACAACCCAGTATTTGCTTTGGATGGGTTCCATTTGGAGAAAAACACACCTGCCACTGCCACTAAAGTCTAAAGACTGTCCTGGGGGAAGATAGAACATTCAGTCCTGATGTGACTCACTACTCTGCAAGGAGTACAAAAGCTGCACTGTTATGCAATCCAAACTGCTGAGCGGATAGTGGATCAATTCGACAACAAGAACTCGGACATGATGAGTCTGATGAGTTGTTAGTCTGATCTTGCAAAGCAATACCTTGGGTGATCGATACGTGTCTGCACTGCTGGTCCGACATGTATAACCTGATCTCAAACAGTCTCAGGCGTGTAAGCAGTCTCAACTGCGAGTGGCTGCAAAGTGCCCAACACTCATTCAATAGATCTGAAATGGGATATGAATGGGCATCTGGCACTAATATATATATATACGTATTATATATAACATCATATAATATATATATATACCTTTTTTATTTGTCTCTCTCCCCTCCAGACGGGGGTTTCTCCGAGAGGTTCATGTCTCCGAGAGGTTCATGTCAAGTTTTCGATGTCGCTGGATGTTCGGGGGTGTGGGGGTGGGGGGGGTATTAGCACACGAACATGGTTTGATGTAGTTTCTTTCATGTTAAGTTGATGTGGATTTGCAAACACGTTTCGTGCTGTTTCTTTCATGTTAACTTGATGTCCGGGTGGGGGGGTTATGGATATGTTTCTGTTTTGGAGATGATTTCGGATCAAGGCTTTCAGGTTGCTCTTGCTTTTTCTTACGTTTTGTTGCTTCGCATCGCTGGCTGCGGTTTCCATTTGACTCATTTGTTTCGAATCAATCCCTTCACTTTGGACAAGTGGCTAGATATCCTTTCCACCTACTCTTCGGCTGAAGACATTGTTTCCTTTGTTCGTTCTTGTGCTTTGATTCCTGATCGTCATTGGTTTGCCTCCAAAAGTGGCGAGCAAGGGACATTCAGCCGGTGCTGAATCGTTGCATCAAACATCATGAAACAGTTCTGCACGTCCAGAAGAAGCTCAAGCGTGGTAAACATGTCGCGGGTGTGGACGGCTCTCCGGCCCTCCACAAAGCTGCTAGCATGGCCGGCGGCCATGCGTCGCTTCAATCCCTGGAGTGGCCCATTTGCGTTTCCTTTTTACACCACTGGGAGCGATTGCAAAAGCTGGATTGGAGCGTCCACATTTAGATCTTCTCCGAAAGCTTTGCACAGATGATCTCTGCGAAGAGCGGCAGGATAGCTTCAATCATTCTCTGCGCGGGTGACAATGCGGCCGAGACTGTGGCGAGTGTTTCAAAGAAACAGCTGCGCCGCTTAAATCTTTTGTCAGCCGATGCCAGAGATGCCATTGAACATAGGAATCTCTTGGCTGTGCACCGCTTGAACAAAAAGCCTGGCTTGGAGAGTGTCATGGAAGCGTTGGGACTCTTCAGGCAAAAGGCGTCGCAAGGGCTGGTAAGTCCAGCTGCTTGCTTCCAGAAGCCTCTGTGGAAGTTGTGAGAGGAGTTTGACATGGAGGATTGGGTGTGGAAAAACATAGTTTTCCAAGTCCAAACACCTTCTGAAGAGACATCAACACATCGAAAACAAGCAAAAATGGCTGACTATCAAGGTGTGCCTTTTCAATGATGTTCACAATGTATTGGTTTTTACAGTAGAAAATGATGGTCAGTCGTTTTGCATGGCGAACCCCATGGTTTTTCACACTTTTGGTAGGTTCGTAGGACAATGTCTCAAACCTGGAAACCTCTCCTCAGGCAGTTTCACTCAGATCGGGTTTTTGGGAAACTAAAAAATCATTGCATGCAAAGTCAACTTGCGCGAACAAAAACGAAATATGTTCGCAATATTGTACGTTCAAAAGGACCACGAGTCATGGCAAAACAAATGCCGAACCCCAGCAGGTTGAAGGTTCACTGCAGTTGTGGATGCAGCTCGGGGAAACCCCCCGTCTCCACCGTCCCTCTCTCTCTCTCTCTCCTCAAACCGGACATGCCTTCCTTTCACACGAGAGATCGCCACGGTCCTCTCCCACAGCGATGGACACCAGGATGGTGTCCAGGATGTTCCAGTGGATGGAGGCATTCCTGGATGGCTCGAGTGATGGATTGGACGGAGGATGTCGAAGCCCTGCCCCAGATCTGCAAGTGAGAAAACACACCCATGGCCCATGTAGGTATCTTTGGGGTCTCGTGAACAAGGGATGTACGTATCTTCTGGTTTTACCATTCCTATTGGGATGTTCTATGAGATCCTATGGTTTGGAGTGCTCCTCTCCTAGTTTGAAGCACTCCAAAAACGACTGACTGCAACGACTGCAACAGCTGAACATATAAATTTCATGTGATTTACCATGAACATTGCATGTACATAGATTATATAGGGAATCCCACTGACCAACAGTCCCGTGTTTCTATGTTTCTTTTTTGGGGGATCCATCCAGCGGTTGGATGTTCTGGGCAAGCCTACCTTCCAATAGACATACAAAACATGAAACACAGATTTATGTGTGCTGGATCCTTGGTTTTGTTACCATCTACCTTGTGAGATTCGACCGGGAAAGGGCTCTGAAAATCAAACATAAATCATCCCCAGTCATAACCAACCGGCCTGGTGTGTGCACACGTTTCACGGGCCTGCTGCCTGCTCATGGTCGCTCCACAAACAGTGGACCAACACCATCTGCCTGTCCAGCCAAGACTCCGGCAGCTGAAAAAGAAGGCCTTTTCCACCAAAATCCGTAGAGCCAGCTCCAGCCTGAGTTTCTCATTCAAGCACCCGATAGCCGATGGCGGAGCTGCAGTTGGTATGTTTTTGGCAGCTCCAATCTCCTCATTGATGACTGTGCAGAGATTGGTGCAATGGTCCGGATGCTCTCATGCAACTGTGGATGGTCAAGTGGCCAGTGTCATTCAGTGGCAATCTGTCAATGAAATACTAGAGAGCAACAGAAATGAATGAATTGAATGAAAGCAAACCTTATGAAACATGTGCAAATGCCCTATTTTGAGTTCCGCTCACCCATCCTCTAACTCCGGTGCGGCAAAAGTAGCGTGAAAGCCACGTTGAAGCAAGAGTTGCACACGCGAAAAAACATGGGCTGGGGAGATCCAATGTTCATCCTCAGCTAGCACAAAACCTGTGGCCAGAAACTAAGTCCAGTGGTGCATTGTGTTGATGAATGGAAGTGGACAATTGGAAACACCATTTTTCCATGTTTGTTGCAGAAGTGACAAACCTTCCTGGCGTCCTTTCGTTTGACATTCGAACTGCTCTGTGTTGCAGCTCTTGTTTTGCGAAAACGAGCTCCTGTCACCATCTATATTCTTCTATCCTATAGTCGTAGCCTCTTCAGGCTTCTTGCCAATCTGTCTAAAACACTTCTGAACAAGACATCTACTTCCGGCACTGAATCTAAGTGCCTTCTCCGTTTGGCGTTTGGCCCCTCCTTCAAAGATGTTTAACTTTGTCCACGGACTTGTCTGCTATTGCCAAACAGGTTGGGCTTCACAAACATTTTGGTCCCAAGTGTCACCGGTGTGAAACTACACGGTCCGGTGTGGTGTTTCACACCCCATTTCCATGCAGGTCGCATGCTCCAATGGGCTTCTGCTCCGATCAAGAGAGCACAAAGCAGAATGAGCACCGCGCAGAACCACTCGAAATTGGAGTTCCGTACCTTTCGCTCGAACACCGAGTCTCTCCACGGAGAGAGACTCCACCGGCGGGGGGGGGGAGACGGCAGGAGTCTCGCGGTTTTATCAGGCGCCACGTCGGAACAAGCGCCCTCAGCGTTTTAGAGGAAGAAGGGGGCTCTGGACATATGGAGGTGACTCTGGACTATCAGCATCCGATGGATCCACCGTCAGGGAGACTCTTGGATGTCGGTCGGGTCCGGTCGTAGCTTCTCCGGTGGATTGGTGGATCCCTAGGGGGTGAAGCAGTTTGCCTCTTCTGCGAGCAAGGCTGAGAAGGCCAAGTCGATTGAAGGTTCGTTGGTTCGTTGATGGAGGGGAGCTCTTCCACGTTCTACCGAGAAGGCCCTGGTTCTGATTAACCCAAGACTGTCTACACCAAATATACCAACACTAGGAACCACTCCGCCTGGTCATGTAGGTCATGCTTTGTTCACACATGGCGTTGGGCGAAATATTTTGGGGGGGAGCAGGATCTGGATGGTGATAGAAACGACACAGGAGCTGACGGATGGTCCGAGTCGAATCCGCTTGGGGAGGGAAACTGGAGAAAAGGGTGAGGTTCAAAGAAACCATTGTTTCCATGTGAGTTTTCAGGCGGAGATCCCACAGCACACATTGCGCTGGCATCCAAAGACCCTGTTACAGTATGCTGTGGTATGCTGCTGGAGTCAAAACCGCGCCCAGGGTGGAACATGGGAAAATGAGCAGCAGAATCTGTGGGCTTTGTAGCTCCTTCCATTCTTTTTTTCTGACCAACCAGACGCTCTGGACCCTCATATGCAGGGGTCGGACCCTCATATGGAGGGGTCTGGACCCTCAAAACCCTACGGTTTTGAGGGCCCGGTCGGGCTGTGAACGGAGCGTCTGACCACTGACTCCCCCAGTTTCGCGTGGAAGAGCGTGTTTCCCAGGCTGCTCTTTTTCCACCGTTTGAAGTTGGAAAGCCAATCCCCCAAAATGCTTGGGCAGGTTCTCCGGAAAAAGATCTGCGTGAAGACAAGGTCACACTGTTCAACGGATTGGGGATTGGTCTAAAGGGAACCTCTACAGGACAACCCATGAGGTTTTCACCCCCAAAACAATGTGTGGCGTTCCTGTAGAATTTCCCTTCAAACAATTGTGGGACTGTTGGTTCCATCTTTGATGTCTATGTTTTTTGGATTTAGTATTTAAATTGCTTTACAGTAATATGATTTAATACTGCCCTCCTCTGCGCCTGATCCTCCATGCTTTGCGGCCGATTCACAAGGTGCTTGGCCCATCGTCGCCATGCCGGAACTTCTTCCAGGAAGATCTGGCTCTTCTTGCGATGTTCCTGAGGCAAAACAAAACAACTTGTTCTGTTTGTGGTTTAACAGTAGGTTTGTATGGATAATTAGTTATATAAGTTACTATATAAGTTGCATCATTGTATAATATGTTGTATTCTGCTTGTATTCAACAAAATATTCTGATCATTCACATTTGCTCAGGTGTCTACACTGCTCTAAGAATGTCCTGACTGCCGTGATTTCGTGATCCGAAGCGTCGGCCTTGGGGGACTCTGTTCGTCGGAGCTTGTGGTCAAAGGAGAAGCTCCCAGAAAGCCGAATGGGCCGTCGTCCCCCCGGTGAACGAAACCAACAAACACTGAATACACACACCATGATGCACACGCGTCGATCCCCTTGATGCCTTAGGCACCTGCAAAAAAACGTGGAGGTGTCAGCTGTTTGGTGGTGTGATCCAAGAGACCTCCAGATCAAATTACGTGCAGCCAAAAGGAACATGCTACACGAACCATGAACCAATGGGCCCCTGAGTCTGACCATTTCCCTAGTACAAGGGGGGGCCTTTCCTCTAACTGCTCAGCTCAGCCATGATGGTCTGAGGGAGTCTAATTAACCACCGAAAGGATCCAAAAGGGTTGAAATGGGTTAAATGGGTGTGTATAAACATCGGGACACCTCCCATGAAGGAAGATGGACCAATCCTGCTCATTGGGCCAAAACAGACAACCCTATTCAATTGAAACCCAAATGTCTCGCAGTCTTTCAACTTTCTCACTCGACAAGTACCGATGAGCCGAGTGGCCAACCAGTCTTTCACGCCTTTCCTAGGCCGTCCGGAAACGATTTTGGGTCTCAGTCACTTGGATGCTTGGAGCACTGCAGATACAGTATGGCCTAGATCTTCCAACTTTGCATGTTTTTGCCGTTGGGCTTGTTTTCACAGATTAAAAGGCAGAAATTCTGCACAGTCGGAAGAACCTGGTATGACCTCAAAGCATTGGGGGAAGGACTTTGATGACAGCAAATGTATGCAAATGTTGACCATATCGCCCACAATTTGACCTCCGCTGCTCAACACGTTGACAATATCTATGATCACATCATGGTAGATTCTGGTCAATCCAAAAGATCAGCCCTGCCAGTAGTTGCCTCACGACCAGTCCAAAAAACAAAAACAACATAATAAACAGCATTCAACACGTTACTTTCACCTTTTTTATCAGTTCTCTGGGGAAGAATCAACCCAAAAAGCAAACCAACAAAGACTGATTCAGCAATACACATGCTTGAGAGCGTGCTTGAACACATTGCGAAATCAACCACCGGCCGGACCCGTGTCATCCGACGGGGACTTGCGACCTGGTGGTGGCTGGTCGGAGCCAAGGGGCACTTTGTTCTTTTCCAGCTTGAATCTGGACTTGGCACGCTGTCCATAGGTAGGATCCTCCTGGTGAGAAGAAGCAGATCCCAAATCCATCACTTCACGGATGTCCCCCCAAAAAGAACCATTCCGATGCCAAGCCAAAGAACATGTCCAAACATCACCTGCTCAAACATAGCCAAGGTCCAGGCTTCAAATACCAATGAACGTCGACGGGCCATCACCTTCATCCAAATCCAGTTCAGTGATGTGTGTTCCGGTTTCATCGACGAGAAGGCCATCACCTGATTCCCTCCTCGGGGGTCTCAGAAGGAAGTCGCTCTGGGAGATTCAATGGGGCCAATACTAGGGTCCACAGGCACGGACCCCCGTGGACTCCCGAAAAGACTGGCTAGGCTAGCACTGGTTGGAATCCCCAGTGGTTGCTATCCATTTGGGGGGTTGTAGCGTAAATTGGCAACCATTTTGATCTGTCTTTTGGATTCTACAGGCCTCCTGTTGTTTTGGCTTGTCGGGCGCGTTTAGCGGAAGTATGCGGACGTGTTCACCCTCTTGACACGAGCTCGTTGAATCTGCCGAGATCGAGTTGGGCGAGCTCCTCCTCGTCGGCATCAAACTGGTCTCCACCTGGCGGATCACTGGTCGATTAAAACATAACATGGCCTCTTTTGTGGACCCAACGACGCCGAACACTTTTGAGCGGGAAAAGACTGTTGGTGTTTGGATTCTGTGGGATTTTGATCCCTGGCTACGTCGGCACAAGAAAGGGGACCTCTATGAAACATATCATATTATGCAATATTATGCATACATAGGAACAAAAAAGTAGGTGGTAGCTCAAGCCCCCACACACACACACACTGACTGGACTGGAGGTTGGTTATATAAACACCACAAAAATAAGCACACAAGATGACATCGGCCAGCGGCTGGTTCTGCGACACGATCCACTAGGCTAGTCTAGCCACATAGGTATCATCAGGTCATGGGTCAACCATGGGCGGGGTTGGACGGTTGGACATGCCGAAGCACCTCGTTTTGGAGCTAACATTAGACACCCCACTGCAGGGCCTTAGGCCCTTAGGCTGTTGAATCAAACCCCAACCAGGTCGTTGTGACTCATGAGGTGACTCGGCTCCTTCCATGTCCTTCCCCTGTGCGATCGACCCGCTCCGCAGCCCGACCTGTCCAGGCTTCCAGCGTGGAGCCCGGGGGCGCCGGCGGGAAGTGGTCTCAGTGGCCGGGTCAAGGGACCAGAAGTGCCCGGCCGGGTCGAGCTGCGAGCTTTTCAAGTAGAAGTCTACACCACTTGGGTAGGTGTTTGGAACATGGGCTCTACAGGGGCCATGCCATTCACTTCCATGAATGGATAGGGGTTGAATTAGTCCCACCAATATTGATAGTTCATGATGATGTTCACTTTCTGGACGGATTCCACAGAAATTGTCTTATCAAACAATCCGCCTAAGTGGGAATCTGGCAGACCCACAATTAAAAAAATAGTCTAGTTGTTTTTATGACCGCTACCATGCTACCTGTCTAAGACACCAAATACCCTCTTACTCCACGAGGATTTCTGCCCAGATGCGGGAGGAGACCTGCCGGGAAAGCTGTCGAGAGAATGGCTTCTCCACCGCCTTGGGATTCTCAGCCTTCTCCTCCGACCAGAAGGCCTGGAATTCGCCAGCGGCTCATGTGTTCTGACCCAAAGGTCAACCGGAGATTCCTGTGAAAACAAGGTCAACCGAAGCTGACTACGTCGACTACGTAGGTCGCTCATGCAGTACCAAAGAGATGATTGACGGAGGTTGAGGTTAATGTAATTCTCGAAAGGAACGTGTGCTTTGCATGAGTTCTTTGCAACATACCTACTGCCTACTGCGCCTCGGACGCCTGAAAGAACAGGAACACCATTCAAACGTTGGCAAGAAGTGCAATCGCATGCAGTTTGTCCACTACAACTAAGAGGCCAAACAAGTCCTCGGTTCTGAAAACCCCCCGCTGCATGGACTCCCGCCTCTGCGAGGCTCGCCTCACGTGCGAGGCTCGCCTCACGTGCGTCCGCAACAGGCCCTGACCTCGGAGGAAGCGAGAGAGAGAGGTTGTTGTTGTCTACAGCTCTGCAGGTTGGTCACGATAGCGTGTTTGGGTGCTCCGGTCAACCGGTTTGGCTACTCAATTCTGAGGGAACTGAGCGGCAAACTTCGTGGCTTAGGGAAGGATCCGGGGATTCCTTTGGATCCATGCCCTCATTCCTTCGATTTCCTTACGTAAATATCTGAGCGTCGGCAATGGTTGCTGCTATGTCTTGCATGCTTTCCTCAACCTATTGGAGTCCAGGCCTCAAAGGACCTCGAGCAGGACGACCCGACGAAAAGGTCACCCGGGGGATTCAACCTGCTAGCTGACTGGGGGATTCAACCTGCTAGCTGACTGACGGGGTCTTTCCTGAAACCCTCCAGAATGAAAAAGAATGAGAAGTACTGAGCACTGAAAAGTTGAGAAGTACTCAATCGCTTCACCTGAGTGGATGACCCTTGTGTGCAGGTGGCGCAACAACCCTCTGCAACCGGTCCACCACCGGTCCCTCCGCCACTCCCGTCAACGGCTGCGCCTGAGTTGTTCCAGCTCTTCTCGCACCGCCTCGGAGAAGCTCTCGCGGCGTTGGAGCGCAGGGACCGGTCCCCCGTGGGGAACGGCCTGGAGTCGACCTGTTCAGACCTCAGAATAGGGGTACCGTATGGTACGGTCGGACTGGTTTGATTGGGGGTCATGTCCGACGGGAATTCACCAAGGCCATCCAGGTTTCATGCATGGTGAGCTGAAATATGCTGAAATGGAATGGCAATCCACGGGTGATTCATGGGTATCACCCCGTGTCACTGGCCCAAGTACGGAAAACTATTGGATGGTCAAGTCTCCTGGAATGGTCACTAAGTTATGGTATCTCGGACCATGTGTGCTAATTGATTTATATATGGCTTCTTATGAATCACGCGTACGACAGGCAGATAGATGGTGCATTTCCTGAAAGGATCCACAAGGATCAGGTGTTTGACAAGACTCTACGATGTTCTCAAAAACCAGAAGATGGATCGTACAGTCGATATGATTCGATATGGGTTCCGGGCATTTGGGGCTTTTCTTTAATTAACTCCTATATGCAAAAGGGCATTGATTAACTCATTTGGGGCTTTTCTTTGAAAACTCGGTCAAGTCCCAAGTCTCGTCGTGGGACCTTTGTAATAGACGTCGACAGCTTCGCGACCATCCTACCCGGCGGCAAACATCCCCTTCAAACCCTCAAATCTATATTCAACATTTAATTGGTAAACTCAGTTCTCACCTTGCCAAGTCAGGGCACCTTCCCTGGACTTCCGAATCCAAACGCGCCTGACCCTCCGTTGTGCGGCGCCGGCCTTCCGCGTTCTTTTCGCACGGCGTGGTCGGCGTGGTCGGCGCGCGGGACCGAGCCGGCGCCTGTGCGGTGGTGCTGTGGATCTTCTCCACCAGGCCGTGGAAGAGCTTTTCCATCCGAAGCTGATGCCTCATGAGCTCCTCAGATCCGCGTGTTGCGCGACTCCACCAACCGGACAGTCTCTGTCTGGACCCAACGAAGAGAGAGGGAGTTTTTTTGGAGAGCCTTGTGTAAAAGCCAAAGGCCGCGGCCAAAATCAAGGACCTCGGGGGCCCAAATCAAAGGTGACGCACCCCGAAGGCTGAAGAACCGCTGCGGTGACGCAGAACTCGAGCGAGCGGAAGCCGGACGAACGGACAACGGGACGGTTTACCTCGCCATGGACAGCGGGATTCAGAGTCACTGGACGATGTCACACATGATGTGAAAGCATCAAACGCAGATGTCCAAGCGCAAGGATCATGGAAGTCTCTTCACCATAAATGACATGCATCTGACAGATGGACATGTCTGTGAATCAGGAGCCATGGGAGCGAGAAAAAATCACCCTATCTCGCGTCCATGACAGCCAGATGTGCAGTGCAACCTCCTAATTACTTTATTTTTTGCATGTTCACTTAAACCCTCTGACATGCCTTCAGTCCTACCTCTGTTTTGGTCAGGTCATGGTGGAACTGGCATAAGTGACGCGAGCCATGAATTCCTACCTGACGATGCCCAGGCACCCCTCGCAGGCTTTCCGGCGGGGCCACAGAGGGGGGTCTGAGCTCCTGGTTGCGGGGCATCATTGGATTCTCTATGTTACAACATCTACACAATGAAACTTGATTTTGTGTTGGGAAATCCGATACTTCATGCGCTTCATGAGTATAATTGGATTACTTTTTAAGATTGTTAGGGACATTCAAACCAGGACGAACAATCTAAGCATCCAAGTCTATACATGTGCTATCTGGGAGACCCAAGGCTTCATCGGAGCTCCTGGGAACCTTCCAAACCTTTGTTGCGGCGGGCTCAACCAACTTCTGCGGGCAATCTTCGAGCTTGGTCGACCGAATGTCTTTCTCGCACGGATGAACGACACGCGAACGGATGCTTCTGTTGAACTTGTAGAGCACTTACAAACCAAAGGGATCCCTCATCCCAATGGTTGTAATATACACATTGCCAGGCGAAAGTGTTTGAAACAAGCTTGTTCGCTTGACTTTAGGAGAATCTTCCTGGAAAGCTGATGGATCATGAAATACCATGAATTACTGTAGGTCCCATAAGATCTTCTGACACTTCGGCTGCTCCTCCGAAGTGAGGAGAAAAAGCAGGTGATACGGTGATTTGATATGAATTGTCTGGGATGAGGTCGTTCCTCTATCCTTAGGGCTCCGGTCATAGCTCCAAGGTAGGTATGGAATGCTGTGGACATCGAATGCCATCCCAAACACCGAACTGCTGAAACACCGATCTCCTCGGAACCTGGAGAGCTCGGGCTTCGCGGCAGGTCAGTCTTCGGGCTCGGCATGGCTGGAGGGAAGGTGCGGCACTGGCAGATATAGCAGGGGGTGGAATTTCTCGACCCCTATGAAAAGTGACTAAGATAGATCGACCGATGACCGATACACATATTAATTAGGCATACATACATACAGAAGCCTATATTAAATATGAAGACGGTGTTGGAAACGCATCCCATGTGAGACCTTGAACACATTCTTTATTTCAGCAATCAGCTCGGACCTCGAGGTGTAGCAGGATTGCTCGGATGCGAAGACCCGAAGAACTGGCAACGTTGCCTGCGCAAAGAGCAAAGCTATACTGTAGGGATTAATAAATAATGCTGGAAGCATTCTGAACTGTTACATCTGAAAATGAAGCTCCTCCTCTTCGTGTATGCTCCAGGGTGACCTAATTACGAGTCTAATTGCTATTTGCACCCGGGAAGATGTTCATGAAACCTGAAAATGGACCTTTGGAAAACGTTGACCTTTCCCTGTACAAACAGTTTTTGTTCAGGTTCCATGTTAATTAATCTGTTAATTGCCGTGTGTCACCGGCTTCCGGTTCATCTTGGATCTTCAACATGTTGCCTCCTCTTTCTGTGGCTTGAGGCAGGCATGAATCCAAACACTCGATCACTCCTGGGAATGCACTCTGCAATCACCCTGGTCCAGCCAAGGCCAGACCCTCTGAACATCAAACAGAAACTCCAGTGGTTTCATATGGTTTCATCACATTTCAGTCCCTCATGAAACAAATGAATCAGCAAGGTCCTGAGAGGGTACCCGCAGTACGAGTGTCCTGTCCAACATCTTCATCTGATCCGCGGAAAACGCCGATGTCTAACATCGTTTAACTGGACTCGGTTGGAAACCTGCACCAGGCGGACACAAGAAAAGGTCCAGGAAGATCAAACGCATGTACTCTCCAACCAGGTCTGTAGTTCAGTGTTATTGGGGCCTAACAGGTGTCAATTGGTGTCCTGGTACAGGACAACCTGCAAGGAAAAGGATCCAAAAGCACACAAAGGTCATGGAAAAGCAAAAGAATAATGGCTTGATTTGTGAATTTTGGTGACATCCAGTCTATAGCTGATATAATTACACTCCCTACAACAATTATGGAAGTGGAAATCCTCTGTTGGTAGAGGAACATGGTCGTCCAAGGGGCCATGTTCCACTTCCATGATTGTTTTCAAGGAGTCTAAGTCTATCTATAATATGTCATATATGAGCTCACCTGAACTTGGTCTCCTGAAATCTTCTTCGCAAAGTACCCTCTTCAGCAAGCTCCCTGTTCACGCTCAAAGCCACACACACACACACACACCGGACCTTTTCTTCGTCAAATCATCAGGGATAAAACCGTCCGGCGCCGCGCGCGCAGCGTGCGCAGCGTGCGCAGCGTGCGCAGCGTGCGCAGCGTGCGCACGGTTCCAACGAGGAGAAGATCTTAGGCAAGTTTCACCTCGCAATGGCGGCAAACACTCTGGCACTCTCAACCAAGGTCATGAATCGAATCGAGATACTTGTCATGTGTCGAGGTTGCAAAGGCATGTCTGGGCACTCAAACTTGGGGAGTTTGGGCTGAAAATCCTGAGTTCTCTACGTCGTTCTTTGGTTCTTGCGTGAGTTGAGTCAATCATGTAGTTATGGACAAATCTAGTCTGAGCATATAAAAGCTGGCTCCCTCAAGCAAACAGTTGAGAAATTCTGCAGCACCCTCACAAAAGGAAGCATATAAGACTTTTATATGACCTGTGTTGATCGCGATGTCACTTGCACTGGTCAAAGCCTCTGGACCATCTCCGATGGTCCAATTTCAAGTTGAACAAGACAAAACCACCTTGCAGATCGCAAAAACTCGTAAAATGATCGTAGATAAAATGACTTGATCCCAAACACTCCATGGAGGGCACATATAGATGTTCAAAACGTCACCCATAATTGCCTTTCCAGCAAAACATGTCGTTACGGCGTCGAACGACCGTGCTTTTTTGTTGCGGCAAGGAGGACACCGGCAAATTGTGTGGTAGCGAGGTGAGAAACCAAACTGAAACGGCGTTTTAGGGCGACCAAACGGCGAGCAAATGTGTGCAACAATTGAAACGGCTTTTGTTCGGATTACGGCATGATTACGGCATCTTTTTACTGAAGAGTTTGAAGATCAAGGACCTACTACAAAGTATTAACAAACAAAATAAAGAAATAAAGAATACCTAAAACCAACCAATCGTGGGTCAAAAAAAAAGTAGTTCAACAAAATGCAAGAAAATGGTGAGCAGTGAGAACAAACAAAACTAACATGCATCTCTACTGACTAGGCCAGAAACAACGAAATCCTGCTAAATGCAGCCTGAAACCTCGTATGCGTTTTACCATGTTTTACCCATCTAATCTTCCATCATAGGAAAAAAAAGCAAAGTTGTTTGGCTTGAAACGGCTGAAACAACCTGGAGCATCTTACAGCTTCCCCCGAAAGACCAACATCTTCACTGCATCACTTGTCTTGTTTTCACATGTCTTCTCCTTGTTTGCCAAGAAAAAGAATCTTCACGGCCTGCATGTGGGGTTTTCTGGCTGGAACCCAACTCCACCGGACTCCAGCGCCCACCTCGGGGAAAAGCTTCCGAAGCCCCTCCTCGGAGCTGTCGGCCAGGCCTCGTTCCTGGGCGTTTGGCCGGCCGCGGCCGTCGTTGGACTGCTGGACCCAAAAACGTACGTGGAAGGCCTTCCGTAGGGTTGACCATGGCCTCAATGTGTCCACCCTTCTTGCATGGCCTTCCAAGACCATGGTGGTTCCATGTGCTGCCGTGCACTTCGCGAACAATCCGAACACTCCGAACAACGGGAATGGTATAAACTCCGATCAGTTGTGGTGGCGGACCCGAAATCGATGGCAAATATGATCAAACATTCCAACCCCATGGAGGGTCTGGGTTCTCTTTTCACGGATTTATACGGAATGTGGGAGAGTTTGCTAGGAGGATCAACAAGGCTAAACAGATGGCCGTGGCCCCAGTTCTGCAGCTCTATCTCTCTCCCCCATGCGCGCGCCCGCGCCTCTTTGGAGCGCTGGTGGGGTCTGTTTCGAGCTTCAAATGAGTGAGAAGAATAGTTCGTAATACATTGGACATAAGCCTTTGGAGCTGCTGCTTGAAGCCCAAGGGATGGTGAATGGACACCGAGGGGTAGCCACCAATAGGCACCCCTATAGGTGTTCTGGTACGATCTTTCAACTATAGATAGTGGAAAGAACAAAAAAAGCATCTCAGGGGACCACAAAAAGGCGACACACTGGAATTCGAGTCCCTTTCTCTTGAAACTCAGGATCACTCCATTCGGTCGTACCAAACGTCTCCACCGGTCGACCGCGCGTCCGGCACTCCGAATGGGCAGCAAGAAACGGTGATCAAGCCGGTGAGCAAGCGCGCGGGTGTGACATCAAACCTTGGAGAAGACCGAGGAACAGAAACACCAACCCAGAGGAATGGTTTGGGGAACCGTGGATTACATACACATGGCACACCTCATCACCAATAAGATCCAAGAATGATGAGCTTTGGAGTTGGGTCTCCTGGTGTATGCAAATATGATTTAGATTTGGATAGTTTTGGGTGAAAGACTAGATGATATGTACCTACATGCAAAGGTTAGCCCATAGTCCCAAATGGATGTCTCTCATCTTTGTTGTGGACCCACACAACTACGGCTGGGTCTGAGCCTCCTTTCTTCAACCTGAAGCTGGTGTTCAAAAGTCTTTAACGCAAATGAACAATATATTAACCCAAAGCGCTACCCCAAAACCCGCCCCAAGACTGAAACAGAATAATTCTCTAGTGACATATTAGCTTAGCCGCCACTGGCTACGCCACCTGGCTACCCCCAACTGGCTACGCCATTGGCTACCGGGGTCGGTCCCTCCTGCTCGGGGTCGGCTCGGCTCGCGGCGCCCAGTTGCCAGCAGGACTGGCTGCAGGCGTCAGAAGGACCTGGCGCGAACGAAGGACCGGCCAACGGCGAAGAGGGAGGACGATGGAGGCAGAACTGGAGAAGTTTTTGGAACTTCATGAAACTTCCCAACTGAAGGAAAACATACTTTCCCGTTAATTCCCTAGATATGTTCACAAGATTCTGGAAAGCCCAGTCATTGTTCAATTGAGATTTCTCTGCAAAGCATCACACGTTTGGTTTGTCTGGCTGAAAAAGCACAACACTTCACCTGACTTGCTGGCTTGCACATGCTTGCACGCTGCAACAGGCTTGTTCCCAAGTATATACCAGGGCCTCTGGTTTGGGGTGTCTATACATCATCCCTTTGAGGTTGAGGGGTGTCCATTAACCACCCCTTGGGGGAACCTGGTATGTAGACTTCAACGTTGCAGGTGATGATCTGTTGGAGTTTGCGGGGATTCACGTGTCCTGGTATATTCATCAAAACTTGCATGTAAAACTAAGCAAAGGTACTCGAACCAGCAGTTGTGGGTTATGACTTATGGCCGTGTCGGTCTGCATGACCGATGTATGCAGTGATGCCAAAATAGATCGACAACTTGTCCGCCCCTCTAAACATATTGTGGAAACCATTCCAAACTCTCTCAAAGCCAAATGCTACATGCAGGCCAATATGACCATACATACACGACTATGGTGTTGTCATAGAGGTTTCCAGATCAAAGCCTACCACTCCACTTGTCGTGGGGACCCTCCAATAGATGTCCAACGAAGATCCGGAATGTCGTAGTCCATTCCCAGACCATCCATGGAACTGGAAGAGTATATACATTGCCTAATTATTGATTTTTGTATATATTGCATATTCCAGTCCCATGGATGGTCTGGGATTTGACACCAGGCCCTCAAGGTTGCACCCATTCGGTCCACCTTGCGGCGCTTGCCATCCTCGCCCAGGCCCTGTCGGCGCGTCGCGTGCGGCCCGACGGGAGGAGACAGTCAGAGGCCTCCCCACGAGAATAAGATATCCAAACACTCGGATCATTCAAGTGGTTGACCTGGGGTCAGTGATTGACCTGGGGTCTGACCAGTCAGATATGACATTTAGATCATTTACAGTATAGGGTCGAGATCGGAGAATCTGATGCTCGGCCTCACGCTTGGCCTTGCAGGTCCGGCGGTCCGACGCGTGTCCACGCGTGTGGATCGTGCATGGCCGGAAGGCCCTCAACATCCCTCAACGAGCTTTTCAGGACATCTCCCCACGTTCTCCCACGCTTCGATGCGGATGCACTCGGATTCACCGCGTTCGGTCGCCGTCGTTTGGTAGCCGTTGCAATCAAACACTCAGCGGGTGACTGCAGGAGATCCACGTCTGACCGCCCAGGGCCCAACAGAAACGAAAGGGTTTCGTTCTGGAAGCGCTTTCTGGGGCACCAACAAAGACAAATCATTAACCTTTTCCAAAGAACAAGAACTTGGTCATTCAAAAAACAACACATGCAGTAAACATCATAAAAACCCACCCCCAACTTGCCTCAAATCAGACAAACCCATGGTCTTTCCGAGTTGGACCCTTCCTACCGTAGTCCACAGAGGCCATCCTCCCATGTTCCGTCAGACGCAGAGAGCCACCCGGAGCGTTTGAGGTTGAAGGTATGTTCTGGCAAAAGAGGATGACCCCATGGCAAAGATCGATTGGCATGAACAAGTGGGGTGAAACCTTTTTCTTGGCCCTGTACGTTGTACGTTTACATGTTCCATCCCACTTCTGTATACTTCTGTTTGGGAATGAGACCTTCAGCGTATTTCACCAAAGCCGTCCGCAGCCTCAGCGTATTTCACCTCCTCGTCTCCCCGCTGTTCGATGGGGATCTCCGCCTCGGATGCCGAGGCAGGTCTCCTGAAGTGAACATGTTGACCAAGTTAGCAGGTTTTGTGCCATGTCCAAAACAGTCTTCATGACCTAATTCTCAATCTTGCTCCTTTCAATCTGGGACAAATCGAGTTGTGATCATCAGGGGACTGTTGTGACCTTTTCATATCTGTTCAGGTTCCAGCTTCACCGACACTTCCAGCTTCGGATGGATACTTGTTTTCGGTTTTCGGTTCTGAAGCCAGTCCCACAAATCGACGAATGCCTTACTAGTAGTAACAAGAAGCTAGTAGACACAAGTGCCTCAGGAGCCAACACCATCCTTCATCTGCCAATCGATGGTGCTGGAGGGCAAAGCAACATAGAACCTCGGCAACGTGATTCGCTTCCGTTCCAGGCAGCACCGGACTTGCCGGTCAGAGAAACTAATGTAGACCTTGATTAGTAAAGCCCCAAATAATGAGGTTTTACAATCGCTTTTTTGTCACTACTAGTAAGGCACTTGTTACTACTAGCGATGCACTTGTTCCTAGTAGCTATTTAATTGTTAATTTGGGGTTTTTGATCAAGAAACTACACTAGATATCCATTGGCCATCCTTCTTCTGTGCCTCATTGTGCCTCTGCATTCTGCTCTCCCTGAGTGGTGTTCATATTGTTCATGGGGCCACTGAAACGGACAGTGTAACATTGCACGATCCAAAACCATCATGAAACGATCCAAACAGTTGCGTACTTGTGCCCATGTATGACACCAATCAATCCACGATTTATTCTATACAGGCATGGCCCGGGGATGGCCAGTCCTGTAGAGCTCTTTCCCACATGTATATGACATTGAACTCCTCTAACCCCCATGGACAGCTTCGACCCGGACAGCCCCATGGCTGCCAAGCAGTTGTTGTTTCATTTCAGCCCGAAGCAAGCGGGACCTTTGAATTAGTGGCAATGGTCAGAAGCATCACCTCCTGTTAGCACATCAATGGGTTTGTGTGGACATGCGACTTCTACAATGGTTTGTCATTCCAAATTGGAAGGACATGAAAAAGAACGTTCAAGAACGGGGTCTAACATGGTCTAACCCATTCTCAGACCGGTTCCGTCCGCCTCCAACCTCCCCTTAGACTCCGCCCGCTGAGCGAAACCCACGGGATCTCGTTGTCCTTGGCCGCCAGCGCCTGTGCGGACCGAAGACCTTCACCGTGTTCGGTCCGGTCGGCAGGAAGAGCGAATTCCACCCATCGCGTCGAAGTCGGAACGCCATGGGCACAAGACACCGCCCATGATGGGTCCAAAACACCGTGGATTTCTGCGATGCGATGCGGATGGATCCGTCATGAGTCGGTCATGGATCCGTCGTACACGCTGACATCCAACTGCCCGAGGACACTCATTCAGATCATTCAGGACCTTTGTCGACTCTAGTCAACTTGAGTCTGTTGTTAGCACATTTGCCGTAGAGAAGATGAGTTGGACACTCGGATCAAAAAGATTCAATCAGTTCAACTGCATGGCGACCTCCAGGGAATTGTTTTTCCAGGTTTGCTGGGTCCAGAGCCAAGTGAATGCACATCCCGAATCACTTCCCAGGAAAGCACTCCACCATCTTCCACCCTATACCATGATTAATCATGATTTACCATGTCCCAACTGCAAAGCTCGCAGAAGGAAGCGCGTCGCCGCGTGGCCTTCAGGTAGGTGCCGATCTTGTTGCAGGCGTCCCCTTGCCGAGTGACGCGATCTGCACCGGTGATCACCACATCCACCAAACCCCTCCTGGCGCAGGTGATCGGTACGTGGTCCGGGTGAACGGCTCTGGCGATCCATACGCACCGCGCGTGGGGTGGTGGAACACTGGTCAAATGTTCCGATCAGTTGGGGTGGTTGATTTGGGGGGTCAATGAATTAGGTCTCTGATTTCCCAGTTACTAGTTGTGGTGATTGGACCATTTGGACCTGGAGTTCCAGGCCGTGCTCGATCCACTACACCCGACTAACCTCATGTCGAACCTTTAAGGAATTGCAAAGAGAACATGGGAATCCCATGTTGGGGGAAATCGAAACATGGCCCAAAATGGCCAACAACATCGTTACATCACTTTGACAAACAAACATCCAGGGTCCATTTTAGAAATTCGGTATGACACTTGTGTCAAGATGTGTCAAGATTGTCCCTGCCACAAACATGTGTAAATTCTGGTCTATACTGCTCAAGTTATTGTTCCAGGTAGTCATCCCATTCCGACATTCCTCTCTCCTTCTGGATCTCAATTTCTAGGAGCGATCGGACGCTACGATCGGGGCTCCTGGCCTTCCCACGAACGGAGCAAGAAGCTACTAGCAACAAAGGGCATCGCTACTATACGAGCAAGGAAGCTACTAGTAGCTCTCCATGTCTTCATCTCTCCTCATGAGGTGTCCACCGGCATTGTCGGCAATCACGGTGTGTGGCACGCCATGCTTCGCCTCGGCCCGTTGGTGCCGGTTAGCCCGAACGGCCGGTCTGATCTGCACCCATTGGAGTCGACGATGTCTTAAAACCGGTCTCACTCGGAAATATTGGTGGTCAGTGGTCATCAAAGATCGTCGAACTGGGTGGTCAGTGGGTGCGGATTATATTGGTAGAGGTCCGTGGTTCCTGGTTTCTGGGTCTTGCTGGACATCTTGGACCCAGGATGCGTGGAGTTGAAACATTTTTTTTCATGGTTGTGCCAGTTCTTGTGGGTATATGTTCTATTCCTGAGGTATAGCATGGTATAGAAATATGCAACTTTGACTTGGGTCAGACGTTTCAAGCAGTTCTGTCGCATTGTGGGAGAGTGCAGGCGTGTCAACACTGAGGTGGAACGGGTCCCATTGGATCTTCTTAGTACCATGCAGCACTCCGCTGCCGCTACCCGTACCGGCAAAGAGCTTTACCACAGACACGCACAGGCGCAGCTTACACATTCCCTTTTTCCATATGATTCCCCATAATTACGTGACAACGTGACAACGGCAGACGAGCTTGAGCTTGGACGGGCATCCTTTGGCATTCAATGCATAGACGAGATCCTTGTCTTGTTTAAATGAAGGAAACCTCGTGGAGACCGAGCTGGGCATGTGGAGACCGAGCTGCCCGGTCCAGCTGCTAAAGGCATGTCGAAGCCATGTGGTGACATGAGCGGTGACGGTTGGCACGGTCGTCTCAGACTGTGGAGATGCCTCACATCGGGTTTCGGTTTCAACAAGGTGCTTACTCACCCTTACTGGTCAGTTTGACCTCATTCTACTGGAGTTGGTGATAACAAAACGTTACTCCATGAGGTAAAGGACCAGGCTTTACTGGATTTTTGGACCTGTAGGGTCATGCTAGATATCACTATGGCCCATTCTTCAGCCTGGGACAGGGATGGGACAAAGTGACTAGGACAGTCTTCACGAAACCCTTGAACATGATTCTGGTCAACAGTGACAACACGAGACGCGTAGTATAGCTTATGTATGCCTGTGTTCTCCAAGTGGCTTCACAACCTTGAGACACTCAGACATATGTTCAACCCCCCGCTAACAATTAGCACAAGGTTTTGGAACTTGCTCATGTGACTCAAACGATTCTGCCACGAAATTGTATCCCCCGGGACATCCCCAAACCATGTCTTCCAACAAAACCAGAGATGCACCTTTGCATGGTCCACAAAAAACACTACGTAGTTCTTAAGACCTCGCTTCACAAAGTGTCTTCCGTCTTTCTGAGAAAAGGACGTAGGCGTGAGGGTGTAACACAGTGAAAGCAACTTATACCATCTTATACCAGCACCCGACTCTACAGGTCACCAATGCTTCGACCAGTTAAGGCTCTTCCCAGCCCCCAAAAATGAGGAGACCTGTAAACACATTAAATCCGCCGCACCAAAGCAGGTTGCTAAAGCTGCTAAAGGCAGGCTTGTGCCCCCAAATCCCACATGCCCGGTGATGCATGTTGATCATGATTCTGCAAAACCCCTAAGTGATTCCCGTCCATTCCCCTCCATCTCTCGGCCAGTTTGCCAACTCCCAAGCGGTCAAGGAAGCTCCCTGGTTCCGCGGACGTGTCTCATCCACCTCGCCGCGCAGGGTCCCTGTGGTTTCCCAAAGAGCTGTTTTTCGCTTAGGCCAGTCTCCCGAACAAACCCAAAGCCCTATAGAAAGAACCTTAGGAAAACATGCCCCAGCACCTGACATAAAGAGGATCCTTCCTCTAAGTCATATCATATCCTCACTAAATCGATGGGATCCGATCTCAATCCAGATCGATGGGTGGATCCCGAGCTTCCACCGATTCGATTGGGCAAGACTGAGCGGGACACCTCAAAGGGTCCGGGTCCCACCTGGCTGGAATCCATGTTCATGGGGTTCATGAATGGGTCTATCCCATTACCAAGGCCGAGCCGAAGCTGAAGCTGATGATGATGAAGATGATGATGATGATGATGATGATGATGATGATGATGATGATGATGGTTAGTAAGGGCCATTCTCCGAATCTTTTGCTGACGGTTACTGGTAATGGGCCACACCCCAGGTCCATGTATGTATACATATTCCAGTCCCACCGATGGTCTGGGAGTGAACACCGTGAACACCTTCAAGATCTACGGAATCAGCGACTTCGTGTCCTTGGTGATGCGGTCATGGACAAAGTCTTGATCGCATTAAAACCACTGTCATGTGGCTCTAGAGTTGAACTTAGAGAATGGACATGTCTCTTTTTGTGTCTGGAAAAAATTAGGCTCACAAAATGTATTCTTGGATTCCCTTTTTCTTCACCTCAGCTAAGGGCTGGGAATTCTGTGTTGCAGCTGTTGTCATGAACATTTCAAGGACATCTATATGCTGTAATTATTGAGGGTTTTCCTCTGAGACGAGGGTCATTCTGAAGCTGGTTACTTCATAATTCGATAACAAAAACAACAATACATGTCTTTCGTTTCTCAACCGCCTTGTGCAGATCTCATGCTCGGTTCCGCAATGAGTCTGCCTTTCAGCCACCTCCGACCCCCCCAGTTGTGTGTAAGCGGCCCAAACGTGGATTGGCAGCCCACGGTTGTGCGCCACATAGACCTGGGATGAACCGCGTGTCAGGCGGCGGAAACATGGCTCAAACGTACGGCACGCCATCTTTGGCTCCTTGTTTTGCCCGAGTTTTGGTGGTGCCATTTCCTTTGTGGTGTGGATCCTTCTTGATTGTCCCCCCACAATGCCAGTAACTCTTTGGAGAGTTTCTGGTTCGCTGAAAGGTTGCCAGACACGTTGGAACAGCGGACCGGGTCAAATGCAAAACTACAAGAAACGAAGGAACTCAAGACAGGTCGCCCAACTCCACTAAAAATACCCCATGAAGATCATGCCCTTGTGCAGCATAGTAAGCGACTTTGTCAGATGAAAAAGAAACTGAGTTTGAATGCCAGGTTTTCTGGATCGAGATAACATTAGACAAATATATAGCAGCAACCTTTGGGTCGCCCAAAGTAGTCCAAAAAATGAACCCAGCCACCAACAGTTCCACGTTGTCGGGGTGGCCGTACCCCATCGAATCTTGAGCTGGAGTTTCGCGGAAAGGCTTGAAGATGCTTGAAAGGGCGATGATTCAACAAGAACTCTGAGGTCAGCACGCGACCGAAATGTCCTCAAACGACGGGCTGCCCCCCTTCAGAATCCACCCACCGAGGAGCTGGTGATAAAGCGGAACCTGAGAGGATCGTCCGGTGACGGTCCTTTCGGGACCCGTCGGTCCTTTTGGACGCTTTAGGCTGACGAAAACTCATCGGTGCAGGTGTGAAGCGCCACCAACGATGAGAAACGACGAAGCCTTCTTGGTCCAAACGCAGCCACCGCGTCATGGCTATTCTCCACTGTGGAAGTGTTGCAGTGGTCCACTTGGATTGTTCTGCTATCCCAAACGCTCCACGTAGGTCAATATATGACCCCCCTATACTACATATATATGTACATGAAAGCCACTGAAACCCAAAACCAGATCCGGGTTGCCTCGTGCAGTGTTCGTGCAGTGTTTGGCAAAAAGTGCAGCGCCACCACCCAAAAGCACCTCCTCAACCACCCAACGTCTCGGCCCTTTGACCCAACCGGAGCCGTCCAGCGACCCCAATCGGCGAAGGCCAGCCAGCCGGCGTTGCAGTGCGTCAAGACCTGGGTGCAGCGGGCGGTGGGACCGCTGTTCCGGTCTCGGGGACGGGAACGAAGGCGCGGGTGGACTGGAAGTGACCCTGGCGACTGGAACGGACACCACGGAATAAGGAACATATCAAGACTCTCAGAGCATATGTGGATCCACAATGATCCATAAGGCATACAGAGAAGTGGTCCAATACAGCCAACTGGTGAAATCGATGACATCAAACCAGTGTGCCAAACAAATACCCACTTGATCGCCATGGCCCAGTTAGCATTTGAAAGCCACCATGACATCATGGAAGTAGAACACAAATAGCTACGGCCAGTTGGGTCGAAGATCCCGAAAATACTGGATGGCATGGTTGCAACCCGCACTGGTTACCATCCATAGCTTGGGGGTTGTCCTAAGTGTAGGCCATCAACTCTTGGAGAAGCCTGCAGCTCGTGGCAGAATTCCAATGCCTCCCTTCCGGTGTCACAATGGAAGCGTTGCGGAAGACGGAAGCCAGTCCATGTGCGTCCTTTGGAGCCTGCCCCGACTGGATTGAAGCGTGTTTTGGCCTTTTTCTTTGATTGAATTGACACATGTATACCTGGACCTTCAAGGGGTGTCCTGGCTGGAGGTCCCTTATTGGTGACCCCTTTGAAGGTGCTAGTACAAATATATATATATATGATGTTTGTGCATGCAAACACATGGTGGGTCCCACCCCCAAAAAGAGGCACAGTAATGGGCAAATCTGCTGAGCTCAGGCACCCACATTCACAGGTTCTGCTAGCTTTGCTTTCTTCCTGACATCGAAACTTAGATCTGAGCGTTTCAGGTTTTGAAGACCGAACGTTTGAGAAGGCACTATTTAACTAAAACCAGTATACGCATGTATGCGTATTGTATATATGTATTACTAATATATGTATTATATAATATATGTAAACTGGTGATTGTCTGGCAGTAATAAAAACATGGGTGGACATTCTATGAAATGTTGACTTCACCAGCAGAAGATTGTCACCCTACCAAATGTGACTCCGCCTTGGCTGAGAGTCGCGATCCGTCATCCTTGACCCACATTATATCAATAAGGACCGACTACGAACATAACATTTGTGAAGCTAGTCTGCCGATGCTTGCGAATGCTTCTGGGATCTTTGGTGAGACTCCTCTCTTGGATGGTTTCAGTTTTGAGTACCTTCGTCCGGAATGGTTTCAGTATGCTTCAGTATGCAGGCCGAATCTCAACACGGACTCCTATGTGTTTACTTGCACAAAAAAAACAAACATTGTTCTTTTGCATGTAAAAAACATGTTTCTTACATTTACATGTTTTTTGACATGTAAGCACCGGATGTTTGGCTGGGATTCAAACCACATTCTTCCAGCCCTATGTTTGGCTTTGCAAAAAGCTCCGATGATTGGCGCAAGAACGGGGCGAGTTCCACCTCGACTGGGCGTCCTGTGAATTTCCTCAAGGATCTTGGCCCCAGCTTCGCCGATGTGCTCGCAGAAGCTCGCATCCTCCACGCGCGGGGCTTAGTTCCCTGAAGATGGTACACCCAAACACTCCACGTTGGGTATAGGTATAGTAGATTTACCTACAACATGACTGGGTGGTTGAAAAAAGGTCAATGGGCCGGAAGAAAAGATATTCCATGTTTTGTATCGTTTCGGAAAAGGTGAACATGTCCCTTCCTGTCGTCATTCTGCGCATGTCAGAGTCACTTAAGTCACATCCGGCATCTAGTCGAAGGAAAAAGTCAAAAGGTCCCAAAGTAGCAGGCAAGGTTTGCTCCGGAAACCTATCTAGTAACCCATTTTCGGGATTGCGAACAAAAGGGCAAAGTAAATTGGGCAGAAACCAAACACAATACAACTTCTATAAAGTCGATGAGTGTGGCTCAATGTCAATGGCTTGGCGGCTATATTGGACTACCCCCAATCGGCTTGAGCAGTGTCCGGACCTCGTCAGTGACTTTCTTGGCCTCCTCTCTTGCAGCCAGCTGCAATGCCTAGACGTTAGTCTCAGGCTTTGACGCCAGGAAAGTCTACAGGATCACCATCGAGTGGTCGAAGGTAGCAACATGTACATGCCTGGTTGGTGGTTTCAACTCACTTGAAAAAATATGTCAGTGGGTTCAATCATACCATGTAAAAGTTGATAAGAAACATTTATAAAAGCATCATCCCGGATGCGGCCCCAAAAAAGAACGCAGCAGGATGGCTTGTTCAGCTGGGATGGCTGTTGGATGGGTGCCCGTTCACATTCAGGTCGACCATTTTTCAGGGAACGACCTGGTTTTGTACAGTAGCACACAGTAGCATAAAATTCTGAGTAAACCTAAGGTTGTTCGGTATAGCAAGGGTGATTCAATCCAATGATGGTTCCAATCCGATAGGGATTGGCTACCGGCGCACTGTGGTTGAAGTGAAACACCTGCTATCCGAGTTGGCTAAATGTGAAAACGGACGCGAGAATCTTCTCATCCGACGGGTGGCCCTGGTGGCCCTCCACACCTCCGCACCTCCATGTGCTGAAGCAGGTGACATGCTGCATCGAACGTATAAGTGACAACATCCTACATGCACAGTGATCTTATTGTACTGAGAGCGGTTGGCACGCGGCGTTTTTTTGGATCCCAGCAGCAAAATGAACTGAATCCTTTGGTTCATTTGGTCCCAAGGTTTGTGGGGGTATCTTTGGCCAAAGCCAGGTACCACAGACATCCACATAACTATCCACATACTGTACATCTTTCAGTACTCAGAACTCCTCCAAGCTCTGATGCATTTCTTATGGTATGTTTTTGGCCTAACCTCAAAACCATCCACCGACCTAAACTCAACAGCTCTCCCCTTTTCGACGGTTTTTGCGGATAAAACTCACAGGGATCGCATATGACTATGACTCTATGACAGTTTTCTGGTGCCAACATGTGCCAAAAAGCTAAATGTTCCTACGCGTGGAACACGGTCTGGGTGTCCCAATCGAGTCGGCCAGTACTACTTGACCATCATCCTGTTTGGGTATATGGCTGGTGATTTTCGGATAGTTGTGTAGAGTAGTCCAGTGGACACCCACGCCATCCCACGCCAATATGGCAGTCCCATCGGTCGTGTCTGGGCATTACATGGCGGTCTGAAAAACCGGGGGACCGACCGGTTGACCGCAGAACATGAACAAAAAGGACTACCAGGGACGGTCAACCATGGTCAACCTGGTCTTCTCAGCACCTCGACGGGGTCTCTGCGTCTCGCCTCACGATCCACCTCAGATCCGCCTGGGGCCGCACGGTGCGTGGGTGAAACCCGGCGGACACATCAAGTTTGTGTGTGTGTCTCTTTCTTTGTCTTGTCTTTTCCGTTTGATTGGTTCTCTCTCTCTCTCTCTCGGAGTTGGTTTGGGTACATATGTGCAGGTATACAACTGGTGTCTATAGGTTCTTTTTTAATCTGTGGTGTACTACTTGAGTCTGACAGTTGTTGAGGGTGACCTTCTTTCCTTTTGAGTTTTGACACTAAAACGCGATGTATGTGTGAACTGTCTAGTTCCACGGCTATACGGCTCTCCAGTCGCTCATCCTATGTTCTTGAGACTCCCAAACTCAGTCGAGTTGATCAAGCAAAACTTGAGAAATGCGTAGATGAGAGCTTATACCAGCACCATCCAGTTTGGATGGTGATTGGATGCTAAACACATGGTGACCCACATGAAATGGCTTCGACTGGGCGACCCAGTTGGGTCGATTTCGTCCGAACTTTCGTCTGATCGACCCGTTCGGCTTTTCCGTTCGGCGTCATCTTTAGCTGAGCTCGAGCAGCTCGAGTCTAAGTCTTTATGTAGACTCTTGGATGAATAACCCCCCCATTTGGATTGTAAGATATTGTAAGACCAAGTAAGACCTCTTCCTGTGGGGATTTTATGAATGAAGAGTCTAAGTCTTACGGATCTCATGTCAAAAGGGATCTCAAGTTCGGGTGACGACCGCTCGAGCTCGTCCCAACGCCTGGTGCGGGGTACGTCTTTAGTTTCCAGCCGAGGGTACGTCTTTCCCCGAGACTTGGACCATCTGCGCGAGGGCCATCAAAAGATGGATCATCTCATGTGATACAGTGTACTCATTTATACTAGAAGATGATCCATCTCCTGATGAAAAGCTTCAGACCAGTGGCCCAGAAGCTTGTCCAGCACGGCTTGCACTCGTTCCACGCCTGGCTCACATGGCTTGCGTCGAGGTGGCCGCTCCGCGAACTGCACAGGTCCAGGAGCATCTTCGCATCCCTCCAGGTGTTTTGGTTCACCCTTTTCGTGCTCCAAGGGCCTAAGACACTATAGAACCCTCACAATTGCAGAAGTACAATAACACACCTGTGACTTGCGCAGCAAATCCGCACCCCCCCCATGTACTCTCAGAAACTGCATGATGCATCTGGCTGTGTGCAACAGTGACAAATCTTCATTGTCCAATGAAAGTAGGAGTGGGAAGTCAGCCGGGTTTTGACATGCTTTGACATCCTTTGGCTAAGTCAATGAGCAGGGTCGAGGAAGCGGTGCTGGGCAAACACCCGCATATTCCGCTTCCTCCACCATGTCTGCTCATTGGTGCTGCGGATGTCTCTGAACCACACTGTTAGTTTTTCATCCACTTCTCAGCTTGGACACCTCTCGGAACTGCAATAGATGGTGGAGTCTCAATCACCGGCACTTATCGAGAAGAGGAGAGTCAGTCACCCAGTGTCACAGCTCTTCAGTTCCACTTGTCTGGGCTCACTGAATCACTTGCCACACTGGTCCATCTGCTCCAGTTGTTCCGGAACCTCCACTGCGCCAGCTCAGCATCCTTCCCATCCCTCCGAATCGCTCCGCCTACGCGGAGATTCACCGCCGTGGGCCGCGTGGCCAGTAGACGTTGGGCACAGATGGCCAAGTGCTCTTTCGCCTCGTGCACACCGCCCGCTGCGTGGACCCGCTGCGGCGTCCCGCTGCGACGTCTGACAGATAGTCACAATGTCCTTCTTTGATCTTCTTTGCCTGTTCTAAAGTAGTTTAAGGGCTCTAAGGAATGTCCTTCTTTGCCTGTTTTTGGACCTGAAAAAGAGTGCGTGTGACTACACTCTCCTCCAGTCCAGAATCCATCCGCATAGGTGGTTGAAAAAATGTATCTGAACATATCCAGAGTCTGCCAGACTGTACCACCAACTTGGTGTCGCCAGAGTGTCAAGTACTTCGCTGCAAAGACCCTATGGCAAATCCGAATCTTCACCCTCAAGCCCTCTCGCAGCCAGCAACTTGCTGGCTCAGACTCGCTCATGCCGGGCTTCAACGTGGTTCGGGTCATTTTCATGGCGAAACCTCTCCCGACCTTCACATCCTAATGTCCTAAACGCTCGACCTCTGAAAGGGTTCAAGAACCACTTCTTGGATTCAAATGGACGCTCACCAAAATTACAGGCCTACTTAGACTCTTCCACGCAATGTCCTAAGGGAAGTATAGCCTATCGTGGCATCATTGAAGGTGCCTTCGCAAAGTTCGACTCCAAGGTCGGTCGGACGGAGAGTGAGTAGCCCCGGCTGAATCACAGTGGTTGATGCTGTTGAACTCACCCCAGACGATCCATGGTGGCACGAAAATTGCATAGTGGATCCTACATTTGGTGTGCTTTATGATGTTTTATGTGCAATTTTATGGATCAAATCCCAGGCAAGATGTCAATCTGCCTCCGCTTTGGTGCACGGCAGCGACCGAAGACACGCCAGGTACATGCCATATGCAGCAGCACAGCCTGGCAGCGACATCTTTCCGGCAGGTACAAACAGGATCAGTTCTCCAAAACAAGGAAGACCCGCCAACCTAGAAGCAATGGCCTCCAACTTAGAAGCAATGGCCTCCAACCTAATAGCGATGGCCTCGAACCTAGGAGCGATGGGCTCCTACCTAATAGCGAAAGTAAGTGAACATTTTTCTGAGCCCTTCAGGTTTCGGAAGAAAATGCTTCATACTTGTCCACTGGTGAACACCTTAGTAGGGCAACCTGTCCCTCAAAAGGGTTCAGCCACCGACTGGCATTTGGTTGTTTGGAAGTTGGAGGTCCCATTCTTCAAAATCACACCTCTTCAAACAAGGGGCTTGGGATGGCTTGGGGGGAGCTGGTGTTTCTGGTGGATCGCTGGTGCCGTTTCTTCCCGTCAATGTGGCGTTTCGGAGCTTCCAAGAAAGATGGGACACGCCACCAAAGTGGGTGAACTCATATACCAAACCCACCACGAAGGGGACCCTACAAGTCCAAAGACCCAGTAAAACCTGGTCTTTTACCTCTTTGAGTATTGGTGTTGTATGACCATCTCCATAAAAATGAGGTCTTTGACTTGTAGGGGGAGGTTAATGGACACCCCTTAACATCTTTAACCTCTAAGGGGCAATCAAGAGACACCTTAGGCCGGGGCCCTGGTACGTTCTCCATGTTCTTGGTACCTTGGCACTTCTATGCTAGGGATCCACCCACGGCAGCTGTCCCGGATGCCTATCAAGCCAGCACCTCTCAAATGCATGTCCTGGGCACGTCCACGGGTTGCCTGGAGGACAGATTTCATGGCCCAACGGAGGGGTCCATGATCGGACGGTACTTTACTACTGCCATGTTCGGGGGAAAAAAAATACATTTGTGTTGATCAATCACAACATATCACAACCTTTTTCAGATAAAGCAATGGCTATATAGGTGATGTTCCAAACAGCCTCACCAAAGGTCTTGTTGTTGTAGAGAAGTGAACAATGTGTTTTGCCCTCAGAACATCTCAGAACCTCCTATGTCCAGAGGTAATCCATCAGTCTTTGTGCGGACTCTGTCTTCTTGCGAGCCCAACGAATGTGAAAGCCCTTGGAGCTTGGATAGAGCTTTCTATCTCAACCTAGAACCTGAGTGACCTCTATTTTGGACTACCCACCACTCAACAGATTGTCTTTCCGAAAACAGAGGTCAAATGGGTTCCAAGGAACATACAGCTCCCCTCAGGACTCAAACGGCTCAGTTCCCAGAATGGTGATTTATATACATATAATATATGTATATATCAGGCTTTGCCCCAAAATGGTCTGTGGATGTCTGAGTGCGCCCTGCAGTTTGACTGGGGGGAAAAATCGAGCCCAGGGCAGTGACCGTGGTAATCTTTCGCACGAGTCCGATGGTCCTTGATGGCCATGCACATCTCTTCCACAGATCGAATGTCCTGGCCCCGGAGCCCAGAGCGACTGGGTGGAGCTGGAGTGGTGCGGAAGTGGACTCTGAGTCGTTCGTGCAGAATCCCTGCATCCTGCCAATGCTTGTTGGGAAGCGTCCAAAGGCAAGGAGAGGGATCCACGAATCCACCGGGGCCAGCGGAGAAGGTACGAAGTCTTGGAACCGGTTGGGGGCGAGCGCCGACACGAAAGAGTATTCAATCGCTTTCTCGGAAGGTATATATGTGGATCTACAGGGTAAGGAAAAAGAGCCAACGATGTCAAGAAAATTGAAAGTGCATGCTGCATGCTGCATCCCTGAAGTGTCTCAGGATGAATGAGCGAAGCGTCCATCCATGAAACTCCCTGGTGCGTCTCTTGCGTTTCAGGGAACTTGAAGCAACTGCAAGCAACTCCGACAAAAAAAGTCAACCCCACCGACAGTGAAAACGATTCTTCTTGCCCCAACACTCCAAACAACCCTTGGTCTCCCAAAACCTGGGCCCAAACCCAATCCGTCACATCAAACTCCAAACGCGCGTTAAGGTGAGACATGGTGAGACCTGGGCCCACCCCTCGGCCCGCGCGGCTGGATGTCTTAACGTATGGGGAACATACCTATGACATCCTAAGACATCCGAAAACCCGAAATGAACCTCCCAACTCTTCCACCTATGAATCGCACAACTCTCCTCCTGACGCGAAAGGTGAGGGAGACTGCTTTGATGCTTCGGTCGCTAGCCATGTTTCAGATTCTCGGTCGAGGAGTCGAGAAAGGTGGAAACATATTGAGTTGGAGTCTTAGGATGTCTTAGATATCACATCGAGTTGGAGTCTTAGTTGGAGTCTTAGGATCCTGGGACAAGAATTGATCTGAAAACTTCCAGATCCGAAGGATTCTGATCTTACCCCAACAGTCCATGGAACATATGCCTACATTGACCCCCCAAAACCACCCAATGTAGGCAAATATCAAATATCGCATACATGGAGAGTTTGGGTTAGGATCCTGGGAAGAGTTTGGGAAGATCCATGAAAATCCCCAACCTTCCCAGAGATCGATTCGTCAGCCTCCACCACGAAGTCATGAGGCAAGTGCCTCTGATCGATAATCTGCACCTGATGGCGTGCAACATCTGACATCCCCCTGGAGTCAACTGGGTACTGTTACGACTGAGTCTATAGAGTTTAGAGACTTCAAGGCTCCCTTAGAAACTGAAAAAGGCGACCTCAGAAGGGTTGGACCCGGAATACGAACGTAACAAGGGAATCGCTACTAGTAACAAGGGCATTACTATTAGTAGCAAGAAGCTACTAGTAGCAAGGTGTCTTACTAGTAGGTACTGGTAGTAAGGCCGGAAAAGCTGTTTAAAAAGCTCAGAAGTTCTGCATGGTGTGATTTCGTGGCGACATTCTCCTAAGAACCTCAAAGCTTGCCTCGTTACAAAAGTCCTGAGAAAGTGCAGCTCCAAAATTGAGCCGAGACCTTTCAATTGTATCGCAGAATTGGTTTAAGATGGTTTAAGGGAAAATCTACAGGAAACCCATAGTTTGGGAAGTAGATAGCATGGTTTCCCGTAGATGTTCCCATAAATCGATTCTGGGAAAGAAACTTGTTAAAGTGGTCCATTAGGAAAGGCTTGCGCCCCTTGTGCTGGGGTCTCTCCACCTCGGACAGCGTCCGAAGACAATGGAACAAATCTTGACTCAGAGATACTTGTGACCCGGCGCGTGAACAGAATTCATCTGTCTGAATCTATGAATTCATGCTCTCCCCAGTTTCCGGAGAAACATCAAGCGACGGACATCCCACAGTGGATGTCAGTCGCCCAGTCCAGTCCAAAGCTCGGAACATTCTCTGCCATCCCTGCCATCCGGTGCCAGGGAGCAGTTGACTCATCCTTAAGCCAAATAGTCCGGAACCTCGGGTTGGAGCATATATATTTTTTATATATATGTGTGTGTGTGTGTTATATTATTGTATTGTTATTGTTACCGTGTTTATCTTGATTATCTGGTAGTATATTAATATACAATAATGGGCACCATAGGATTCGAACCACCATTGATGTGATAGCCTGAATCCCAAACAAGCAGCTTTTGTGGGTGTTTACATGTTTTTACATTACAAAACCAGGTCAACCCATTTTGTTAAATGGTCTTTGCAGGCTCGGCTTCATAATATATAGATATATATCATGTCTCTGTTTCGAGTAAGACGTCGCACTGGCCGCCCCGTTTCGCCCCGAAAGCAACGTGGCACCCCTCAAACATGGGGGTCACGTGCTCTTCCTCCGAATTCGTATACATGTTTGTTGTATGTTGGGCAAACCCACCCCATAATGAACCATCTTCTCTACGGCAAGCGACACCTGCGCCAAATGAATCTTCATAGAGGGATCGGGATGGCATGTTCCTGCCTGAAGTCTAGCACAAGGTCTTTTGAGGGCCGAGACAAAACTGGTTCTGACCATACCATACCATACCCAATATATGCCTCCCTCTACAACCCCTCTCTTTGATCTGGAGCACATTGGAACACGAATGTGTAGTGAGGAAAACCCATCTGCAACTCTGGCAAAAAGTCTAACCCCCAGCGGACAATGTGAGTGCTTTCCAGGCACAACGCAACCGTTTGTTCATGTGACGCGCCAAGCTGGGTTCCCACACCAAGTGCCATCAACTCTCATGGCTTTCGGGATCACAACTCTGCATCAGTTGTTGCGTAGACTCATGGTGAACATCTCACCAGCGTGCTTGCAGTCCGTCGCAATTCTTGAAGTTCATCAACAAAGTATTGTCTGGCTCCCTCAGTGTCCCTGGAAAATAACGGTTTGCTCTTGTTTAATTATATATATACAGTAGTAGGAAACTAAGCCCCAAAATCCAAAAAAGGTTAAAGGTTATCCACTAACTGGCTAGGTTAGGGATGGAAGTGACGGGCTGGAAGACCTTTGCTAGGTCCTCTCACCATCTCCATGCGACTGCCATATTTGCTGATCAGTTGGTACTTTCCAAAAAAGAATCGGGTGTAATCTCTGATAGCTGCAACGTTCTGTAGTAGTCCTTTTTGTGCTTTGGTACATGAATGGCAGAAGTGGCTACACTGGACACATGGGATGGCAATGGTCGTCCTGTGTTGTACAAGTTGGCCTGATACTCAAGCCAAGAGCTCGGCCGCAAAGATGAAATACAGGAAAAACCAGGCCAGGACGCCCACAGCAATCCTAACTCTCTTTTGGGCTCCTGTAGATTCCTCAGAAGGACGGGATGCCATCCCAAGCGAGAGCCTGAATTAACAGGATCTGCTTACCATAGGATTCGAAACAATCATCTCAGAGCCTGAATCCCACAAAAACCAGCTGCTTTATTATTAAGGACCTTTACACTACAAAACCCAGCTTAACTTGTTAATGGTCTTTGAAGGATAGGGGTTCTAGACGGACATCCAAGTGCCCAAAACGAGCGAACTGACACCTCCCTTCCTTTCACTCGACCGGAAAAAAAAGACTTGTGGGAAGCTTTTTCGAGGGGAAGCCTGGACATGCCTGGACCTCTTAAGTCTTAAGATTCTTAAGACCCAGAGTCTGTCGGAGTCTCATTTTCGTGGCACCGATCTGAGCGAGTTGAATGAGATTTGCAGTTCTTTGTCACATTTACAGGCCACTAGCCCAGGGTATGAAGCTTCCCAAAACATACGTAGCCACTCTCGCCCAAAGCAACCAAACATATTTGTTGGACACATGAGGGGGCATAACAAAATAAAGGCCCCAGCGGTCATCTTTTGATCCAAACACCTCTTTCGTTACATCATCATGGGAGGCCTCCACAAGAGCACCCGTTGCACTTTACCAACACAGGAAGTCCGAAACAGCTTTCACTCTGGGAGCATGTGGCTTTTCACCAATTGCTGAGTCTAGAGTCTACTGCTAGGACACGAGTCCGATATTCCAGACGCCTTCATGTCACAGAGACTGACAGCTCCGATCCCTCATGATTGATGCTTGTGTCTTCATGCGTGTCTATGAAGGGATTACTGGCCTCAATGGCAAAGCCAAACTGCAGGACACTAGCCACAGTGCGTTTCTCTCACAGCCGAGAAAGAGGCCGCTCATGAAAAGCTTTTGATAGCTCGTGTATGCTTTCAGGGAGGGATTCCGTGCTCCGACTATCAAATGTGTTCAGGACGAAGCAGCCAGCTCGTGTCCCCTTTTCGTTGCCAAAAGAAGAGCTTCACAATTGATCACACTAGTTCATCTGTTCGGATACTATCTTCAACAAACCTACCTCTTGGCGTCAAAACGCCCGCGCTTAGACATGAAGGCCGCCCAAAGACCCGATCTCCAACTATTGTGGCCCAGCAAGTCCCAGAGCAAGGCGTGGAAAGCGGCTAGAGGTGGTGCTCCGTCCGTTCAGCCCGTCTGAATCCCAACAGCCCAGCGTCTGCCTGGTTGTCAACCAGGAAGAAACTGGACGATCAAGAGAGGTCAAGCATCTTGTTGTGCTGTTGTTGGCTCTTTTCCTTTGGACCCACAAGCGCAAAATGACGATCACGAAAGCTGTTCATAGTCGCGGAAAAAATACAGAAACACTTATCCCACCAGTTCCAAAGGGGTGGTTTGTCCCATCCAGTGATATCCTGCTCTGTGTTGGAGCGTGTACCTCATCACTGAGGCCTTCGCTTTGCTTCACCACGCCACCGCTTCGCGTCTGGGGCGGACCATCACTCGTTAACCGGGCCGACCCGAAAAGCTGCGCCAGTAAGAGGAAACGCCACGTCGTCTGAATGCTAGGTGGTCTCCAGTGTCTTTGCTTTCCTTGCACATTCCCTTAGTGAAACATACAACATAGTTTCTGGAAAATACACACGCTCACAGCGCTGCTCTCTAAAAATTGAAACATCACAAAACACGTGCGATCCGGGACCTGATCTCTTGCTGGCCACCACGTAAATGCGTGGGTGATGCACGGGCACCACGGGGGCCATTGGAAGCGCTCTGAAGAGCGCCTCAACATGCCTCAGCCATGTCTGTAAGACCTTGAAGCGTTGGCAAAGTGTCGACATCTTTCAAGGCGTCTGTATACTGATGTCTACTTAAGGATGACTCTGAACGTGCAACTTTCATCAGCATGAGGCAGCCCCCACAGTCCCCATTTCCCCGTTGGCCCATGCATACATTCTGCAAATTTGGCAAACACCTTCGGACGCTGGAAAAGAAACCTTGTGCCGCGAGTGTGTTCCCTGTGAGCCATCGCCGGTGCTGTTTCAGCTATTACTCCGTCGCCCACTTTCGCTGGGCTCTCAGCAGTTGGGGTAGATGGCAGATGGGACAGGTTCCACTTTACAATTTCATCCTTACTATCGTAATAGTATCATATCTCTGCTGATTTGTGTCACGAGTCATCTCTGTACAAACGGGAGATTTGGGTGCAAATTACAAACAAAACATGGTCCCAACTTGGGGAAACTGGATAATACTTCAATCAATCTTTAGAGCCACAATGCACTGGTTTTTGCCTTACTTCTAAGCCATAGCTTCCCCGCATCAGAAGCCCTTCTTTCATGGCTGGCAGGACATCCAGCCCTCACCTTGCAACTGAAACAGGCCTGATGATAGAAGCGGGAGAATGGATGATAAATGTCTTTCAATCAACTCCGGGAAATCCACTCAAGCTTCCTTGGGTCCTGTTGGCATTTGCATCCTTCCTGTCCTTCCAAGCACTGGAAACCTCACCCCGGAGGAGAAAACCTCTGCCATCCATGGCTCACGGCGCACAACTCGCGGCTGCCGGTACCTACGCGCCCATCTCTAGTGAGCGATGCCCAAATGACATCGAAAATTGCATCTTCCCTGAGGGAAGGTGCCCAAGTACCTGCGGGTGCGGGGAATGTTCGCCAGTCACACGTGGTGACACCCACGTAGTTGTGGAAACACAGCGGGGTCACCTGGCGGGGTCCCTACCGAGTCAACCCCCCCCCGAGTCTTCAGGCTTGGGTGATGAAAATTCCTACAGGTCACCCATTGGGCACGACTTGGACTTGTGAGCTTCCATTGCGCACTGGATAGGCACTGCATAGAATGTCGGCGAACAGGAAAGCTAGACGGATAGTTGAGCTGTCCTCGAGACCTCATCTTGGAGTAAATAGGATATGTTTGGAAAGACCATGAAATACCAAATCATGTACAGTAATGTACAGCATGTGATGTGCTCGGAACAAATTATGGCCAGCAAACGCAAGGCTTATCGACACGTAATGCTTATCTTCACTGCCATGCTTCCTGAAGCGCAGGGCAAGCAGTTGGCTCAACTACTTTGTATGCTGCCGCCCCCCCTTGATGTTGCATACCATATTTTACCCGACAGTGATGGATGGTAGAATTTCAATTCACGATGTCTGCTTCTTTCGACGTTACTAGCTCGAAGAACATGGGATTGGAGGTGACTCTGGATTGTCTCACCACTTGTTTGCTCCTTCCACTTCTTGTGCTCCATGAAACGAAAAACCAGAAAAAAAGGGACTCGTCCCAGTCCCAATGAGGATATTAGAATGGAGTTATGAATCCATGCGGATGCAAAAGGGTGGTATCTCACAACAGCAAGGAAACGACTCGCCTGCCTGGTGCAAAGATTTCGGTACCTGCTGCTTCGGTGTTTTTTGGGCGCGAACCGGGCTCTAAGAGCTATGGATGGCATCAAATTTTACAAAACAAATTTCGGGATTGAAAAAGGCATGAGTTTGCTTGCAACCAACCTCAGCACAGATTGCATACTCAACTCAAAGCCAGCACAGTTCACTCCCTATTTAGTTGTGTCTTAAACGGTGCCCACCTATATATAATTATATAGCATAAATATATATATATACAGTATTATTATGTATTCATATTTATAAATGTTGTCGCCCAAACTCAGGAACTTTAAAGGCAAACACATGATCAATCCCATAGCTATAGACAGCCTATGACAGCCTTTAAGAAAATAGCATAAAACAAAGCTAGCACTAGTCAGATGGTAAGTATCTTGGCACGACCGACAAGGATCATGACAATCACCACAACCACAACCAGGAAATTCAACAGCACCTACCCCCCTTGCACTTTTAGGTCAGCTTCCCATAGCTCTCCATCTTATCCACCATGCAACCAACACCAAATGACGAAGAACCGAAGAACCACCAACAAGAGCTGTCACTAGAAGCAACTGTAACAGCAACAAACCCAGCGACACCAATTCAACCCACACCAAACCACCAATCAGCCAAGATCGGCACAAAAAAAAACGAACATCTGCAAAAGGAACCATGCCGCAGTGCACCGCAGTGCTCCTGTGTCCGTGGTCACGGAACCCACCGAGGGTCTTTGTCGGGAACCGCTCCCTTACAGGTCAGTTGGACCTCATGTCACTGAAGTTGATCATACCAAGAAAAGACAAGTCTAAGTGGAAACCTCAGTTTTATCAAGACCTCATCTTGTTCCTGTAGTCTTGCTATTCTTGCTTTGATCAACAAGACTTTCAGGACCAGACTGGACCTGTGGGGACTGAACACGAAAAAAAAGACATTCTCGGACCAAAACCGCTCGATCACACGGATGTTGCATCATCTGAGGGAAAATCCATCATCTTCCAATGCATCAAATCTGACCAAGGCACGCGGTGACGTTGCCTCAGATCAAGGAGCTGCGATGAAGAAAAGTTTTCAGAAGGCCACAGTGCATGGAAATGGTTCATGTCCAAACCTCTGGAATTGTTTCATGCTTTGCTGCTTCTCTTGATTCGGTGTTTGTCTCATGATGCGTTTGTGTGTGTGTGGTGCTCGGATCTTGTCTTCCAAGCAAGAGTTGTGGATGTGGCGATGTTGAAACAATTGCACACCCAAAACACTCAAACGATCTCAAAAGGCAACCTGTGTGGGTTCTGATTCGGTTTGCGCGTTTTTGCTTCCCAGCCGTGAAAGCTTGGTTTCACTCGCCCAGTGACCAAAGACCACCGCGTAGATCATGTAGACATAAAGGAAAGTGGCCACGGCTTTGATGACCTTGGTGACTGATCTCTTGACCTTTCAAGGTCCAAGAAATTAGTTGACTCTGATCGGTCGCTTGGATGGGGTCGGTTGCTTTGTCGGTCTGTCGCTGGAGCCTGACTCACTGCCAGTTCTGTCGATTTGGATGCGGGACTTCCTCCCAGTTCCGAGCGACGCGGTGAAGATTCGGTTTGGGTGAAGACTCCGAGGCCGCGCGGGTGTTGCGACGTCATCAAGGATGGCCAAGGTCTTGATGAGCTTGTGTAATAACATGTAATAACTATATAGCTGGTCTGGACAGAAGCTTGTTGACAGCTTTCACGGGTGTACGCATGTGTACGCTGTAGAGATCTGTATGGGGTGTTTTAAGCAAATAGTCAAATAGTAGAGAACTTTAGACTATAGAGAACTGGCGTCAAAAAGGTTTTCCTCCGGTGGAAGCGAGTAGCACGCCCACAAAATTCTTTGCTAAGCTTTTGGCAGCTAGAAGGCTGCAAAAGACCAATGTGGACTGCCAAGCAATGATGGTTCCTCTCAAAGTCCCTCATGGACAGTTTTACGTGTATATACGTACACTGGGAAGGGCCTTAAACTAAGACCTTGGTTGATGGTCACGAAAGGCCCAGTGAGTTGTTCAGGCCCTGTTGCATGTAGAGAGCGTTTCTCTGTTCACCGTTTTGGGTGCCGAAGCTCGGTGCGACATCACGACGTCGTCACCCGATCGAAGACCTTCACGAATCAATGGAGGCATAGTTCTTCTAAACGGGGCACGTCAGCGTGCAAGCTAGCTTAGCATGTAGGCCCCCCCTCAAGCAGCTCGAAGACGCTACTGGTGTTACTTGGCTGACCAAAGCGACCGAGGCAGGCAGAATACATGCCCCTGGTGAGACGTAGAGAGTCTCAGATGGTTTCTGAGCTCGCCGCTGTAAGGCCCCACATCTGACAGTTCTTCTGCGTGTAGCAAAGCGCCAATCCTTGAGGGACGAGTTCAGCAGAAAAAAGACGACTCAGTTGGTTCTTCTCAGATGGAGAAGCTTGAGGAAAATGCATTGAAGGGATGTGGCCCAACCATAATTCCGCCATAGTCAGCTTGTCAAGCCAGAACTGAAGACATCTTTGTGCCCCGTGCGGGTGAATCCTCCCCCACTGATTGGGAGTCATACCAGTTCCACAGAGTGTCTGGGAAAATCAAAGCCAGTTGCCCAAAAATGGCCATGAAAGAGGCAGCCGCCAATGTCTTGAGTGGGTTCTTGGGGTGCTGATGTCAGTTTTGATGATGAAAGGTTCATAGCCTCACTATGATTCCCCAGGTGAGAAGGGATGATGTATGTGAGGTACGGGGAACTAACCTGGAAGTGGAAAACCTCCCATTTCTAGAGGAAAACGGTCTTCTCCAAGGGGCCATGCCATCCACTTCCATGTTAGTTCCAGGGAGTGTAACCCCAAAGCCAAATATGGACTTTGCGACGGCCTTGGATCAAACAAAACCCGGTGGATTGCAAACAGGGAACAAACCGATGCATGAGTTCGCATACCCACAAAAAGACCTCCACAAATCTGCTGAACACCCAGGAACTTGAGCGGTTTGCTCCAAAATGCTTAAAAGGATGCAAAAGGCTTTCTAGTACTGAGCTGCGTGACCATGTCTCGAACAAGGATGCTTCCCAAGTGATCCAGCATGACTCGGCGCTTCTTTGCACATCTGCCACCGTGCATGCCCTACCCCAGTTGATTTGGCTTGGAAACTGATCCATCGTCTCAGAAACTCATCACCTTGAAGACTCCAATCCTCCAAATTCATCAAAACTCCAAGGCTACGGAGGATCATTGAGGATGGCTGCAACCCATTTCGGTCGGTCTGGCGAATCGAATGGAAGCGACGCCGAGCTTCGGTACTGGTACTGAGTCCACTCCACCTTCTCCTGCCGCCGCGGCTCGTGCGGCCCGTGCGTGAAGCATCCCAAAGCGGGACCGGCACACGCCAAGACGTGTGACACGTCGTGCGACATGTGGTGCGACACGTGGTGCTGCACGTCCTACTATCCGGCCCATGTGGCGGTGGTGCCTTGAATTTAAAGGAGGAGAAGCCAGTGAAAAGGATCGTGGGGATCGTCAAGATGTAGGTCAAAGTGAGCAAGGGAATGATCCTAAGGCGCGGAGCGGGCGGAGCAGTGTGGAGGGTTTGCGGAGCGGTCGAATCCAAGCTCAGGAATGGATCCCACAACAGCATGGTCGAAAATCATCAAAAAGGATAATTGACTCATAAAACCCATTGAGGCAAGCCTTATTATCCGAATTCAGAGGAATAATTAGTGAGAACCCCAACATCTGGGGTGGGTCGTTGATTCTTCCCATTTCTTTCTTTGACCAGAACCTGCATCTGGGTGGCCCAATCTGCACCGCAGTTCTCCCATTGAAACATGTCGGCGCATCAAGCAGTGGGTGGGATTCATCGACCCAGATCCATGGATTGCATCGCGCAAGTCGCGCGGCGTGCGTCCCCTTGTTGGAGAAAAAATTGCCTTCTGAACTTCTGGACCAAAGAGATCATTTCTGTCAAGCTTAATTAAGGTCTCTGTTTAGTGGAGCTATTTACTTGCGAGAAAAAACTTGAATCAATCAGTGCATGATGCACAATTTTTGCCTTGTCTTCAACCTGCAGAGATCATACCGATACCTTTACACTCCGACTCATTAACATGGAAGTGGAAAAAGGACTGTTCGTAAAGGACAGTCGTCTTCCAAGGGACCATGTTCATCCATTTTCCACTGTGATGTGTTCGTCAAAGTGTATACATATCCTGACACCAAACTCCTCACCTCTTCACACCGAAACGCCCTCGAACTCGCTCACCTTTCCTCGCGCTTTCCTCGCTAATAAAGAGTTCGATCCGAAAAAAGGGATCGCTTCCTTCGCGAGCGAAAGGTTAGAACCGGATTCGGAAAAAATCGGTCGGAATCTGAAACTAGGGTTCTGAAACTGGGGTTTTGAAACATGGTTTTTTTCTGAAACTGGTATTCTGAAACTCGGGTTCTGAAACTAGGATTCTGAAACTGTGGTTCTGAAACTAGGATTCTGAAACTTGTATTCTGAGACTGGAAAGTCAGATTCTGCAACTGGTATTCTGAAACTGGGATTCTGAAACTGGAAAGTCAGATTCTGCAACTGGTATTCTGAAACTGGGATTCTGAAACTGGAAAGTCAGATTCTGCAACTGGTATTCTGAAACTGGTATTCTGCAACTGGTGATCTCCACATCATGCGATAGCGTGTGCCTGTGACTTCATCTTCGAAGCACATCCAGACCAACGTCATTAGCCCCCCACCCAACCCCCCCTCAGTCCCCAAGTGTGATCTCGACATCACGCCAACCCCCTCATCATTCACAAAAGTTTCGGAATCCTAGTGAGGGAATCCACCATTTTGCGGAATCCTGCGCAGTTGCGGAACGCGAAACGCTCGGTGACGCGCCCAAGTCTCAATGAGCCCATGGTGTGAGTGAGCATGAAGAGCTCGCCGCCTCCGTCGGAACCGTGGGGACCCCGCATGCAATCGATGTTGTTCCTTGATTCCCCAAAAAAGCTGGGTCCCTACAATGTCGCTACAAGTGACTAGACCCTAGAACCAGTGTCCGGAGTCTCAACTATACTACTGGCCGCTCATGGTTGCAGAATCACCTACCTACACTCCCTGAAACATTACTGTATATGTATATATATTCATCTGTATTCATCTATTTCAGGATATTTCCGGCAGTGTAAACGTGGATTGCACCAGTGTGCAAGTGGTGGAAATGGTCTCCACAGAATCTCCGGAAAATCCCAGATGCCCGCCCTCAAAGTGGGAGCAAACACTCTCTTGGAACTCTCCACCCGCAATCTGCCCGCAACGGCCTGTCCACATCAGGAACATGGTGCAAATGAGTTCTGAGTGCGGGCAACGGGAGATGGTCATAGGATGTCATAGGCTTTCTGACTTCAGAGATTAACGCCATTCCCTGCCTTTACCCAACCTCCGGTAAGGTAGAAAAGCAAACCAAGCAAAGAAAGAAACTAAAGAAACAGCTGTGTTGCTGTCACCATTCAGAAACTCGTATCACCCATTGTGCCATTGCATATGATGCACCAATCTGCCCACCCAAAAGCCCGCCCCCCAGGCCAACAAACACCGAGAAAAAGGACATAGCAGCAGGCCCAGGAAAAGGAGCACCTCCTACCTATCTTGCGGAGTTGATCCGAGCGTCTTGGAACGATGTCCACGATAATCACCACAATCTTCATCTTCCAGGTCATGTATGCGATGATCATCTTCCGGTCACCCCTCTCCTGCAGGAAAGCACATCAAGTCTTCTTTCAAAGGCGCCAAACCGGGTGAGTGCGAACTTTGTGCAGTTCACCAAATGTTATTAAGGTATTCGCAGTATGAGTACAATGTAGGCGGGTTCACGTACAGTAGTGGAATCATAAGGAGTATCATAAGGTAGGTTTGATCAACACCACTTAGACACTTGTGCACACTTGCAAAGATTCAGGCAACCAAATCCAAGCACGGCTTCCTAGCTTTGAATCTTCCAACATTCAGAAGCGACCCTCTTCACCCAACACATCACCAACAAAAATCCAGACGCGGATGCAGAATCTTCTGGACTCGTCCGACTGGACTCGTCCGACTGCGCACAGCGCACCAAAGCCAGCGAGCGCACCTTCTTTTCTGTTCGGCCGCTGAAGCGTTGCTTAGAGCGCTTCGGGCTCAAAGGCGCCAGGGAGTGCAAACCGATCGTGACCGGACTCGCGAGGCAGTGGGAGCTGATCGGCCGCCAGGGAGATGGAGGGGGAGCTCCATCAATGGCGTTAGGCCATCAAAGAGCACCTTCCCGTGTTTCAGTCGAACTTTCCCTTCCCCACGAACCAAAAGGATGCTTCGGGGCACGGTCCAAGCAGCACTGTCTCGAGGGAAGCAATGCATGGATCGCAGCGCCTGCTCTTCAGAAGAGTGAACGAAAAAGCCTCCATGCTGGTCAAAGACCGTCTTGCCCAGAATGTATCTGGTCTGGCCATCATAGATGGAGAGAAAAGCATTGCCATCGCCCGGATCTTTGGCCACCACTTTATAGAAAGCTGTGTGCTGCCTGTGGCGTAGCAATTCTTTCAATGTCGCTGTGGCCAAACGCAAGTCCTCGGCCGCCTCTTGGGCGGCCGGCCAGCTCGACCGAAGGGCTGCAGCTGAGCGCGTGACAGCCACCTCCATGAAGAGCCGGCGTTCGACCGAGTGGTTCTCGCAGAAGTCACAAGGAAGGTCATGCAGAAAAGGAAGGTCGCAAGGATCATTGGCCATGGGTAAACACCCCAACCACCGATGTCTCGTTGGCGAAAAAGTTGCCCGAGATGCGGAACCCCAAACGTTTGTTTGTTGTGAGGTAGATGTGAAATAATTACATATATTGTCTGTATGGGTCGCTGCCTCCAAAGACATCGGGTGGTCTGCTGGCAGTGTTTTGAGCCCAGATTGAATGTTCGTTGTTGTGCCACGCAAATGTTGACACTCCCAAGTGGTGTTTAAGATCCTTCACAAATATGAGGTCTTCTGAGTGTTATCTCCACAACATGTACTGTGGTGCTAAATCGGCTCAGTATTGTTCAGTGAAAGCCACCTATTTGGGATTAGGAACATGGTAATCCTTTTGGGGCCATGCCGTCCACGGAACCATGATGATTCCAAGAAGTGTACCATGCACAAATAGAATGTGTCTAATCCCCAATTTGTATGATATTCTGGATTTGGTGCTGTCCTGATCATAATCAAGAGACAGTGCACTTCTGGTACAGTCACACAAATGTCCTCACGTAACCTGTTTACAGTATATAAATATGACTCCTACCTTAGACCCCCCCTATGTCCACATACCCAGGAATAACTACTAATTATTCCACTACCCTTGGACATACATACATGTTATTTATTCAAGATGTGCACCTGATGCAGTAATATTTTCTGTCATTAGGCTCAGCACTTCCGACCCTAGACATAGGAATCCGTTGAAAGGATATGTGAAAATGCATAAACACAGTGAAGACAGGTCAATAAACTATGCTTCCATGCTCGAAGAACACATCCAAGACCGACTCGACATGGAAGGGAAGGGTTTGGGATGGCGTCCCAACAACAAAAACTTAAAAATATCTTAAATAAAATTTTCAGGGGGGGGTGGCGCATGCAATCTAGTGGATGTGAAATTCGCAAAACTCTGGAAACATCAAGGAAAGAGAGGGAATGAACGAATATGACCAGCAAACTATCAACAAGTAAAAAATCAACTAGCTACTTTTTGTACGTGTTTTCTCCTCTCCCCCTGTCTCGTGTCTACTCCCTTAACGTTCGAATTCCTTCTGGAGACCCCATGGCCGAAAGGGTGCCTGTGGTGACGATGTCTTGACCCGGTTAGTCTCCCCGTGGCCCCAACGACATCGGCTGCCTGAGGCCCCAAAAATCGATGTTTGAAAAAATAAGTGTTAGACACTTTGCTGGTACACTTTGTCTCTGCAGTCTCCACTCCAGGAACCTGTACTTCTCTATCAGCATCTAGTCTCAAAGCGTCGAACATATCGAAGACCGGCTCGACATGCTTCGATCATGTAAATTATTCCAAGGTTAGTTGTCATTAAAATATTACATTTGAGTCTCAACATAAAGAGACCCCCTTCAGGATTATTTAAATAAATATTCTACGGTCTAATTATTCTGCAAATTTTATTCCACTATGTGACATGCCCCCCTGGAATAACTACTTAAGGCAGGGGCCATATATAAATTGGTCCCCTGAAACAAACATCTTTTATGGAATGACTTTTCACTCCAATGCTGCAATGCTTGGCATGTTTGGCTCAAACAAACAACAAAGGTGTTTGGATTCTCAGTATCAAACTATGGAACCTGCTTCAAGGGAAGTCTGTTTCCTTCATCCGATCGTCCAGTATTTCACCCCGAACTTAATGTGCTTCTTAAAATTCTTCGGGTCGGTAGAAGGTCTTTGGGTCAAAACTCTGTATCCTACACAATAAACGATACATAAAATCAACGGATCTTCCTCTTACCAGCTGCTTCCACACCAACCAACCCCAGTCCAGTCTCTCAGACATGTACCGTTCGACGGGCGCAGGAGGGCGCCTGGATATGTGGCTCATGGTTGTTCTGTTCAGGATCCTCCACAAGGCACAAGATGGTGAGGCGGTTCAAACTCTCTGAGACCTCCAGCGCCACGGCCGGAGCGAATCCTCGAAGATCGTCCGTTCATTCATGCGGTGGTCAGTCCCGACATGCAAAAGTGAACCCATCATGAACATACAGTATACATATTGACAAACTCGTCCAAAGTAAACAGCTGTGGACACCTGCACAAGTGAATGTTTGAGGAAACTTTTGGTGCTAACCTATCCGATGGAAACAAGTTCAAGCTCACACCATGTTTGATCCCAACATCGTTGCATATATACTAGTTACTAGTATACAGTATACATCCTTATACACTGTATATTTCTACTGAACTTGGCACACTTGCTGCTCTCCTCTGCGCGAGTCATCCGTGCGACTCCCGCACCTCGGTCATCAATTTGGCTCCCCACAGCGAGAGCACCTCAGTGTAACACGATGGAACACGACCATCGGTCGTGCGATAAGGCGATGTTCGCCGCGGTCGGCCGCTGAGGTTTGGCGTACAAGTCGGCCGCTGAAAAGTGCCGCGACAACAGGTTTCACGCCTTCCAGACGGTGGGACTTGCATCTCAACTGGCCACATCTGCTCACCGGCCCATGCCCACCCCACGCGCACCATCAGGTGGATGAAGCCCATGGAGTGCTGCTTGACACACAGGTCCAAGGCTTCTTTCTGGATAGGATCATCCTGACTGAGGCAACGTCGATTTTCTGACCCCAACAAGCTGGGAGGAAACATGATTCCGTTACACGGAACGCAAACTCCCGTGTGTCGGCCAATATTTGGACTGAATGCGCCACGGATTAGGGGTTGAAGTCCCCAAGGGAGTGGAGAATGTTGTTGATCCATGGTTGCCCTTATTGACCGTTATTGATTCATCAACCCGATATATATGGAGATGTTTACCAGAATCTCTGGGTAATTTCAGGGTCAGCCCCACTTGCTGTCCCGGGTGCCACGACGATGCGAGCCCCTGCGATACGCAGCATGACTCATGGAGGAATTGCACATCCAATGAAAGTTTAGTATAAAGTTCATCATGTCCAACAAATACCATATATTACATTAATGTATCATGTGTATGTATCATCAATATTATCATATATATATATAATGTTTAATATGAATATTTATCATTAATATTACTAATGTATTACGTGTATTATATATATAGTAATATTATATAAATATATATATATATTGACCTGCTTGGCGAGCATCAGCGTGGCGTCCCGTGCACCCCGTGCGAACGCAGCACGGGTCCAAGCACTGCAGCGTTTTGACCGTCTCTGAGAAAAAGGCATATATCGGTTTTAGATAATATGTAGATATGTGTAGACTCTTGATGAATAAACCCATCCCCATTGACTTGGACATCCTCTTCCTTTGGGGGGTGCAATATCATCAAGAGTCTACAGCAAACACTCCCTGGAATCATCATGGAGTGAAAGCCACCGGAAGACCAAGCAATAGTCTTCACCCAACGTCCATGATAATTCAAGGGAGTGCACACTCGAAGACACAAACCCAGAACTTTCCAATTCCAATGACTCAGCTCATCCTATTCCACAGTCCATTACCATTGGAGGCCAAATACGAGCAAAACTAAACGGACGGCTATTGGATGGTCAAGAACTGAACATATTGTTCAAAACTTTGACGCACAGCGTCCTTATCTCCAGGTCCCGACTCCATATGAACACCGAGGTTCTGAACAATGCTCAACCCGCCAAGGGGGGAGTCTACATAAACCATGTGGCTGTGGGTCAAAACCAGGATACCTTGGTAACATGACTTGCGCAACTGGATCTGAGCGCTCCCTCATGCACCCCTTGATACACAGTGCTATCGGGTATGAAGCGGGTCAAAAGTGGTGAGTAGTGTAAAATCCGTTGACCTCCCTGGTGTCAGTCGTTCGCTCGGTCGGTGGACGATCGGGCCCGGGCTCCAGGTGCCATGACCCATCCCCACATCGATCGGGCCCAGGCTCCACGTTCAGTGCTCGTTGCCCACGGAGTGCTGCGTCCAGCACCTCGGGTATGCTGAACGAAGGCGGCGGAAGGGTATGCTGAACTGGCCGAGGGATGGCTAATGCCGGCTGAAGCCTTAGGACAACTTGTTCCCCTCGTTGAAGTTCCGGTTTTGAGGTTTCTGGTTGAGAAATTGCCACGCGAAACTAGGTCACTAAACGAAGGCGCCTCTGCTTCTGTTCCTCCATCACGGCCTGGTCAAAACCCTCTATGCCACTTGTGTCATCATATGTTCAGGAAATACCCGGAACCCCAGATTTCACACGCTGCCCTGTGGTTTTTAGGCTCTGGATGACTGACACCGCTGCACCGCTGCCCCCATCCATCGGCCTGGATCTGCTCCTGCAAGCCATGGGCAAACGGGGAGAACAGCCCCTCCACTGTGCTGACATACAACTGATAGGTCCTGAGTCGACTTCCAATCCAAGAAGGGAGCGATGAAGCTCAAGACGGATCCCGAACAGACGTCGGCTCTACGGCTCTGAGGTCCTAGTAGCAAGAATGCTCCTAGTAGTAAGGCCAGGAGCTACTAGTAGCGTCCTTGCTCCTCCCAGACGCTCATTGACCCCTTTGGATGACCCCGACGTATGTATAGATATTTATTGTAACTATTCCGTACATGGATAGTCTGGGTGCGTTTGTGGGTGGATAAGGGGTTCAGCATTTCCTTTTCCGGGCCACTCCGCAAGCCTGCGGAAGCTATTTTGGAACTTCTAGGGCTGAGTGAAGAGTGCCAAGTTCTCTTACACTTCTTGAAATACTCCCGCCTTGTTGGTAGGAAAAGTAGGATGAAACCATTAGCAAGTACTTCGGGGTTGCACTCCCTGGAATTATCATGGAAGTGGAGCGAAAACCACCTGTCTGGTATTCGGATGTAATCCTTTCAGGGCAATACCATCCACTTCGATGATGATTCCAGGGAGTGTGTCTGCCCCATTGTTCATGCTCTTCTAACAGCATCTTGCCATAGAACTGCTACGTTCCCCAAAAGAATCTGTATGAATCTGTTACAACAGAGGCCCTTGAATTTAACTGTCACACCCTGCACAATGGGCTCATCCAGCTTCCAGAAAGAGGATTGAGGGAGGTATCCCGAAGGCTCAGTCATGTTCACTCAGTTTGAACAAGTCTCCATGATTGCCCTGATCTCTGGACCTAGCCAAGCAGTTGGAACAAAAGCACCAAACACATTTCATGAAAAAAGCTGTGGTTGATGTCGCCGATCCACTACAGGCAGGCAGGACCCACCCCCAAAAAAACAAATGGTTTTGGTGCAACCCGAGTGAAGCCTCAGGGAAAGCGTGGTTTTGGTCCATCCAACAGGCCCAAGGGTCAATCCCAGCTGGAGAAATAGCGCTGCAATATGAAGCCTGGGGCAGATCTGGGCGGTGGCAGTGGCGAAGTGTTCACAGCCGTTTTGGAGGTCAATCCCAATGTTCTTGGGGCCCACAGCTTCGCTGGGCACTCCCATGTTTTGGGGATGCGTCACTTTTCGCTGAGCACTGAAAAAGAATATGTGTCTTTTCATTGACAAGAGGCATTGATAAGAGGCCGTTCAGATCTAACAACTGCTTAAGGGTAAAGTTCATATTGTAAAGTTGCTGATTCAACATTGATTTACCTCCCAAAAGAACGAAGATGAGAAAGAATGATTTACAGTAGAGAGATGTGCATTCAAATCATACCCAAATATACCAAAGATGCCGTTGGTGGAAGGTAGGGGTGTCAAGTCGGATGACTCAAGATTGCAGGTGCATGTGGGGGATCTAAGACAAATGGGAGTCTCATCTACTGTAACTTGTTTAAGAATCTCTAGGAAACAACATATACCCATTCTTCTACGAGTATATGTCTCTATATATTTATATAGAACGAACGTGGAAGTGGACAACCACATGTCACATGGTTGTCGAGGAGGATAGTCTTCCAGCATTCATTCAACTTGTGTATAGTCGTGGGATGTCTCTCAAAAGGGAAGAAAAAACAAATGATCGACCTTCCCTTGGATACAATACTGTAATAGGGGAAAACCTCTTTTCGACAAATTCATACTAAAGCATAATTAAAGCAAGAACTTCCTCAAATCTGTCGGTCGTGGATTGAGGCCTTTGCTGTTGGCATCATAGGAGACCGCAAAGAAAGACGGTCATCTCTCATTTTGTGGTTTCAGAAAGATTACTTTTTCACCGTTCCATCACCATTACACCACGCAAAATCGTCGCAAAATCGTCGCAGCCATCCTTTATATATATATATATATACAGCACCTGTATAATTACTATGCGTCTATATTTGTATATATGTATAGTCCAACGCCGATTGGACACTGGTCATTTTCGGATTGGTTAAACAATCCCATCTACCATAGGATGGTTGTAGATTTGCCTCAAAGTCGTGACCTTGACAGGTGCGAGATTCAGAACTTGGTCCGAGAAGCGACAACACCAGCACCAGCTGTAGGACCTGACCAGGCTTCGATTGAATACATGCCCTAACAAAACATTGACTTTCTGAACCTACATTCAATGGGGTGAAATATTCCATAGATACATTTGTTCGCACTATCTCCAAAATGTTATATAGAAAGCATCACTGGGAGAAAATCAGCCGACTCGCAAATCGCTTGCACATCTCATCAGCGGGCCAGGCCAGGGAAAGGCAATAGTGAAGGGGGCAAAGAGTAACTATATAACTGCAAACAACATCTACTTAAGTCAGGGGGATGTTTCGAAGCAGTGGAAAATGACCTCTTTGTAGATCTTTGTAGAGGATATTAACTGGCCCACCTCTCCCATATTCTACGTTCCTGTTCGTGGGTCAGAGTGTAGAAACGGTTGCCAATACAAATTTGATCATTTTTGAACATGTTAGACAAGGCGTCACGTTTTCGATGTTGAGGTCATGGTAAGTCAAGTGCAAACCTTCTGCAAAGTGCGACCCGCACCGTAGGTATTTCATACCATGCAAACCATGGTGAGTCGTCATGCTCAACAGCTGCTCTTTTCTGATGCTTGAGTCATGCAAAACATCCTCACAAAAATAAACCTTCTGGTCGATTGATCAGGCGTCAATTGCAGGTGTTCAGTCTACTAGGTGGCTGCTTCCAAATGAAAGATGCTTCCGAAACCCTGCCAGGCTCTAGAAATTCTGAGTGCCCCTATGAATTTCTCATGAGTTGGGCCAGTTGGGTATGTATTTTTGATAGGTAGATCCCCTGAACCGAGTAAACTGGTCTACTAAGAGTCTACTATCCTTCTTCCAGGGGTCGAACTGGGAGCGTCTCCATCCACACCCACTTCTCCAGGCAACCCGACCATGGTCTCCCCAGAAAACATCTTGTTCCTCTCCCCTCGCTGCTCCCGCCGCGCCTCTTGCAACACTTCCTGCGATCACCAAGCGATTTGTGTGATCTGTTTTGGGGTCAAACAATCCGACGAAGACTAGCTGCCTGACGTATTTTTTCAACGAAACCCACGCAACGGATCCTCTCAGCCAGGGGTCTGGCCAGGCAACGGCCCCAAGTCTTCCAACTGCTGGATTTTGGTCCATCGAACACATGACAAGGCTACACTCCGACAAACACATCAAACACCCAAACCGCTCAACACATTTTGAGATCGCTCTTAGCTGAATGAATCAAATCCGCCGACCCCGCTATTTTAGGTCTCCTTGAGGGGAATTGACCCACCAATCACTCAAACAAAGAACGGCCACGGATCCTCTCCCCGGCGCTGCGCCAACGTGGAGCCTTTTGCCCCCCCGGGACCCCTCCCGGGCGAAGACGAAGCGCTCCTCGGTCTGTAGGGGTCCCATAGACATCTGGTCTCGGGTCCGGACCTTGGTTGGCATCAAACCTCCATCGAATCAGAGGCAAATGATGAAAGATCTGCTCTTTTGAGGGATGATGAATGAGGATGGTGAGGTGTCCTAGCGCTTTTCCAATGTGTTTCCTTTCAAAAGGCACTAACAAACCAAATAGAGTCGTTCACTGGCCCAAAAAAAACAAGAAACTCAGACCAAAAACGATGTCAAATACAGATCTGCCTGTCCAAATTCATTCAAATTTCCAGCATCCTTACCCAAACCATCCATGGGACTGGCCTATTTACCTGGGGTAATTTCAAATTTCAGGGATATGCAGGTATGCATATATATTCCATATTTTTCCATATATGGATGGTCTGGGCTACTGGAGTCACCAGACATGTTCGAGAAAGATTCACCTTTGGGTGGCCCTTTTTCGGTGCTCAAGTAGCTCGAGTATGCTCAAGTCTAGTTTCTGGCTTGCAGTCCAAATTCGGTCAATAAAGAAGTGTTCCCCTAGAACTTGGAAGCAAGCTCCAAGACATCGTCCGGTAGAAAGCTGTGGGTAGACGGGTCCCTACGTAGGTTCTCTAAGCAAATCCTTTCCTTTAAAACAACCACACTCACAAATCTCAAAACAGTTCGTTTGTGCCCCCTTTGACCCGAGTCAGATCATCAGCCGAGCATCCAAGGCTAAAATCAGGCCATCTCCAGTGTGCTGCTGCAAAGGCATCAGGCCATACTCCTGGAGATTGGCCTCGAGCTCGATCTGGACTCGGCCGATCCGGCTGACAGCTCGAACTCGGAGACTCGGCGGACTGGCGCCGGACGATCGGATTTGTTGGATTCCCTTGGTGGCCGTACTAGTAGGAGCAAGAAGCTACGTTCGGGCTCCTGGCCTCGCTGCGAACGGAGCAAGGACGCTACGAACGGGGCTTCTGGCCTTACTACTAGGAACAAGGTTCGCTACGTTCGGGGCTGTATGGAGCTGTGGCAAGACGGTGGAAATTCCAACACTCTCCGGTGTTTGAAGAAAAATGGAAGAACTGAAGAGCGAAACAGTTTCGTTTCAGTATAGTTTAAAGGAAGACACATCTATTCTGAACGCATCGTATGGCCTTCAAGACCATCTGGTCGCACTCTACTTGATGTTTAATCTACTTTCTAAAATGCACAAACACAAACAGGATGATGCAAGTGACTTGTCCATCTGAAACGAGTCCATGAATCCCCATGTGACAAACACCGCTGTTTCCAGAGGATTCGTCTTGGTTTTCCTCAGAACAAACCGAGCGAGGAGGTCTTCACGACTGAAGCGTAAGAACCGAGCGATGTGGGTCATATGGCGTCCGCTGTTTGCTGTTTGACGAAAGAACATGGAACATCATGGAACTTGCCATGGCCTTCCAAGGGGTCACCAACAGATTTCCCTATATACACTCACTTCACTATCACTGATGGATTTCCCTGGCACAGCTGGTCCTGGGAAGCTTTGTTGGTCTTGAAATTGGAACTCTGATATAAGTGAAACATCCTTTTGCCGAGGCCATGTGGGGTGCGCAGAGTCTCCCTATTCTTCCTTCGACTTCGTGGAAAACGAGGCTGCTGGGCAAACACCATGTGACCTTCTGGTGGGTGAACTCCACCAGTCGGAATGAAACGAGTGGGCAAGTTGTTCACATGATTTCTACATGAATCCTGGGTACAAATGAAGACCCAACATGTTGAGTGAAATGGATATATACAAATTCTGGATTTCTGGATCTTCATGGATCTTCCCCAGAAGATTAATTATATCACTGGAATTAAGGACCTTGAATGGAGGAAGTTTGAGCTTTACCTATAGATGCCTTCGCAAGGGTTGCACACGAATCTGACGGGAATAATTACCCAAATGCAAATGCGTCGATCGTTCTTGCCTTTCAAGTCAGTCTGGCCATCTGCATGATGTAAGTTGTATCAAAGTGACTCTGTCGTGCCAGCACAATATGTTGAACTGTATATTTATATAAGCCTTTTGAGATCTTTTGAGACTCAATGACCTCCAAATCCCGTCGCCCACCAATTCGGTCGCCTAGATCTTAGAGTCCAGGAAAAAAAAAAGCAAGCACGCAGCGCCAGCCCACATGCAGAAAAAAAACCATCGCCCAGGCACATCTGACCACAATCGTCGGATGGATCTGAAGTGCTTGGCCCTCAAAGCAGTGACACGTGAGCAATGACCCGAAGGCTGGCAGGTTCGGAGAGCTGATGGTCCAACTACCCTGGGTTGATCGATGTTGATCGGATGAGCTGCACCGGCTTTGGAATTCGACACACCTAATTCGGCAATGAAAATGAAGATGACGCACCAAAATGCAAAACGGGGCGGGAAAAAAACACAAAAACGAATAAGCAGCACTCACGAGTCGACAGCACCTGAACCCTTGCGACTCAAGTCGCGTTCTGAACTCGAGTGGCTCAAAGGGACCAGGGTCTTCAGCCAAGTCAAACGAGGGGGATTTGAGATTCGACAGGTAGTGATGAAAGAGAAACAGTGGTATATATAAAGGACCTGGCGAGAGTCCGGAAATCTTGCAATCCTTCACAATCATAGGTTGCAGGATATGATATGGCTGTTGCAAAGATTCTGCAATCATTGTCATAGGGTTGCAGGATTGCAGAATTGCAACATCAATCTTGCAATAATATGGCGGTGATGTGGGCTGCTTAGACATAGTCCAATGATGTCCAATGGTATGACTTGACCAGGTCATTCAAAGACATCATTGGGCAGCTGGCACGTTTGGACGCAAGAACCACCTACCCTCCCCACAACAAACAAACGAAGTGGACCCCGGTTTCACGCCAAGGTTGTTGACAAGACTTGAAGCACGGAAACATGGGAAGGATGTTTGTCCGGATCGGAAGAATAAAATGACGTGGCAAACTGGACTTCATGGACCTTGGAAGAAGCAGCACGTTGGAGACATCATGATGTCATGAGGGGGTTCCACATGGTTGCACATGTGAGTTTCTGCTCACGTGGACCCCTGCAGTACTCACATGGATTTGGAGAGGTAGAGAGTGTTTGCTGGGGAATTTGATGTGTTTCTGTTGCTTCGTCTTGGGAAACTAACCCCTGAACCCCTAGGAGCCCACGGACTCCATGCTACTTCTGTACACAAAGGATTGTTTGGATTGTTATCGCTGTGGCGATACCGCCGTTCCCGCGGCGTTCCCGCGTCTGTACTTGGTCCGAGAGTTTTGCACCAAATCATCAGGGTGACGAGGTCTCGGACCAAGTGTCAAAAGGCGTCTGACAAAACGCCTTATGTGGCCTTGACCAAGTCCTGTTTCTCCAATCAAAGCCCCACAAAAGCGCCAAAAAGACTGGCACCACTCAGATTCCTAGTCTAGTCCAACACAACAGGAGGTTCTTCGGCACAACTCTGGGCTGTTTTCTGGACCTCAGAAACTGTCGATGTTCCTCTAGCTGCTGATTCTCAGGGGTGTCTCCACAGTCCACACAATCGAAGATTGTTGGCATCTCAGCAGGAGTCCTTTGAACACCCTGCACCTTCAGCACAAATCCTTACGCTTTGTATGGTTTTACTGGCTTTACTTGCAAAGAAGCAGAGAGACCCACAATCATTCTGACAAACAACCCCAAAAACCAAAAAACGACTCCGATTCGATCAAATCATTAAATCCAATCTAACTACTGGAACTGACCAGGGGAGGTCTGCATTCTTGAGGTACCCCACCCGAATATCAGCGCCCCAAGATCAGCGACAGAATGAAAGAAATGGGCCAAGCAACGCCTTTGGCTCGTTCAGGATGGAACCTTCTTCGGACTCAGCGTCTGGGACCAGGCATCGCTTTTCGGCATCTCTCATGGCGGCAGTTGTGCCGAAAGTAGATGCGAAGATGCTCGGCCCGGGAGCTCAAAGAGATGTGGAGAAAACGCACCTCCAATCGGAAAATGGACCAGTCTACTCATTGGGCGAGATCTCCCTATGAAATACACACCCGTTTTGATAAGTCAGGAACCAGCCGGAAGGGAAAATCACCTTACAGTCATACAGTTGGACTGAACCATGTGCTAAATCTCCAGCTGGCTTCCTGAATTTCAGTGGACTCGAGAAACTGGAGTGGACTGACCCTAAATCACCTTGCTGTTGGAGCAGCTTGTCCCCTATGGCCGTCACGGCATGTCACGGTTGTCACCTGGTCAGCACCGTCAGTTGAATAAGCAAAAGAGAGCTCTATAGGGAGTGACATGCCTCTGCTAGACCGGCGGCATATTCTTCCTTGGGAGGATCATAACGTTCTCGCGAGTGCTGCGCGAGTGTCGCCTGCCAATGCCTCCGTGCCGACCCTTGTGCCTGTCAATTGTCGACCTATCTCTAGGTCTCTATGATCTTCGGTTCCAATCTTGAGCATTGTGTTTTGCCCAGCAACCGAGCGGATGCCTCTCGAGCTCTCTCACCCAAACACTCCATGGACTGACCCGCTGAGACGAACCACCAACTGTTGCAAGGCTATTCCAGACATGGATGGACCAACAGGCAGTATTTTCGGGCAAACAGCCCAATCCGCGGAAACACCTTGAGATACTGCACCCACAAAACACCGTGCCTGACTCCCGCTGATGAGGGAAAGACGCAACTCTTTGATCCCATTAAAGGCTAAAATGGTTATGGACATGGCAATTCCTACGAGTACCTGGAGCTGAAGTGTACATCAGCGGAAAAATCACCTGCAACACGCCGTTCCGCCGGTGCGGGAGACCCGTCACTTGATCCTGATGATCACGTAACCACCAGAGTTAGTTGAACCTGCAAGAGGTAAAAACTTGGGAATAACATGTATAATATAGTATATATTATACTTAGTTACTTGTACCTAATCTCTAAACCCAGACCTCTAGGTCATCCATCTTTCACCACTGATAACCAACTCTATTGCTGTTTGCTGCCAAACCGCAGAGTTCTCTCACAGCAAGTCTTTTGTTCAACCAAAACGCCTGCCCCGCCCGATCATCCCAAAACGCACCGCTCTACTACTTTTGGGGCTACCGTGCCGCCAAATGTCCATGGGTTTTTGACTCATGAGTGCGGCTTCCCATTGCGTCAGGCGCCTTTGCCAGTCATGCCTCATGAAAGGACGAGGAAGGCGCGGTCCAATCAGGGAGGTCAAGTGACCAATTGCTGGGCAGGTCAAACAGGGTGATAGATTCCGCTATCCAGTCCCTACAGGTCAGTTTGCTCTCATGTTATTTTACTGGAAACCGGGTCATACAAAAACAACCAAAAGCACTAATTACTCAACGAGGTTTTGAGGACCAGGTTTTTTACTGGGTCAGACTGGACTTTTTGCAAAGAACAGCGGCTCCCTTGAACAATCAAAGCATTTTGCCGTCCCAAACATCCCGAACGTCCGTCGTTCATGTGCAATCAGCACGGGCTGGATCCTGGAAGCTGCGATGGTCATGGCCGTGGGTCATGGCACCAGACCAATCCGAAACCAAAACCTACTATACCGTATACTGTACGTGTGGGTCGTTTTCGGCTACAGGGTTTTTCCCGCAGATCCATCCCCACATGCTGCCAGTTTCCAAGAGAAATGGAATGGCAGGGCAAAGCTCTGAGGTCCGACCCCCCTGCAAAGATGTCGGGTCCATGGATTCTTAGGGCCTTAACATTTACATTTCGTGACCCCCGTCGGGCACACGGTGTTGCTACATATGTAATCATAGACAGTGCTTCAACAGTAACATCCACGTTACTGTGGCTGCTTCGCCGCAGTTCTCATTCCCAGGCACGCATCTTTGCCCTCTCCGGCCGCACGCCAAATGAAGGAGGCCTGAAGTCAGCAATCGAATTATGTTTGGGAATTGGGTAGCGGACCTACGGATGGTTATGGATCTTCTCCGCCATGTGACAGTGCACAGAATCAAGCTTGGTTGCCAAACAAAAAGACTTCAGAAGGACTTGCAACGTCCTTGGACCCGACACCATTCGCAGGGGCACGCATTTTTGTTGAGCTACGGGAAAGTCTTGAGGGTTGCAGAAGGTTGGATTTGTCTAATATGTGGTACATCGTGGTACTACCATTTCGCACAAGGTCTATATATATATATATGTCGATCCTTTTCACTTCCCATCACGTCACCCACTCGTGACTTATCGCGTCACCCAGAACCAGCCTCGTCTGTGGAGCTGGAATGCCGCCGCAGGAAGCGGACAAAGTGTGATCTGTGGAAATGTCCGTTGGCGTGGACGACGAAGAAACGCGTGGATCTGCGCGTGATCTGAGTCGAAGGTTTTGATCCGAAGGTTTTGTTGGCTTTGGAGGGCTTTTTCACCTCGCAGCTTTCAGGAATTTTCAGACCTAATTTTCACAGGTTGTTCATGGCCTTTCACGCTGTTTTCGTGCTTTTGTATGGCCAGCTCCAGCAAAAATGAAGTCCAACTGATCTGTAGCGACATGGCTATGTTTTACTTCCACGTTGCTTCGAAGGCTTTGTCCTCTTGAAGGCTGCCCGAACTGTGATCCATCACAATAGGGCCAAAGCCAAACGAAACAAAGCCAGTGGGTTGGAGGGGCTCGCACTCTTCATTGTGCTTCTACAATCCCAAGACACCCGTTGCTCATACTTTGGGCAGCCCCCCGACAGCCCTTCCACATACCCTCTGAGAAGGTGATTTGTAGACTCATAACAGGGTCCAAGTACCTTCTCAGAAGGTATGTGGATCCCTAGGGCAAGAGACATTGTCGATGTTGCAACTATCTTCTGCACTAGATCCTCCACTTCTCCCACGTCCCATCGGACCCCTCACGAGCTGCCTCTCGTCGTCCGTCAAATCGGTCGTGCACGCAGTCATGGCTTTGAGAAACCCCCACACCGCGTGCCGCAGCAGCTTACTATGACCTCAACAAGACATGCGTCGGTCCGAAATGCTCCGAACAAGAAAGACATGGACGAAGACATACAGCACGGTGTTGGACGACTCCGTGTACGTCGGGCACACAGTGTTGGTAGCAGCTGTGCAACGTCGAAACCGTAAACCTGCATCTGCCAGTCTGCCAGCTGCAGAAAATACCAATATATAATAATATATATATATATACCCGCCTTTCTTTTGTATAAAGCCGGACAAACGGGGACCGTGACCCGCTGGAATATAGAAGCCATGTTTAGCTGCAGCGCTTTCTGCTGAGGAAGTATGGGGTTGACCATTGAGAGAGCAAGGAAGTCCCTAAGACTCTAGCATGAGCCATAAAATCCATGTCCTGATCCGGAACTGCTGCACCACCCTTTTAAGTTCTTGGATGAAAGGTGCTCCAAATGGAAACTTGCCGCCCAAAGTTCTGAATGTGGATGTCCAACCAGTTCGCCGAAACTTATCATGCATCGAATGATCTAAAAAACACCTCCAGAGTCTCGATGCATGCCATCGGAGTCGCCTTACTGTCGGGAACGCCCCAAGTGGGGCCCCCACATTCGGGATGTTCAGGTCTTACAAGAATAATCATGAAACACCCTGCCATGTCAAGAGCCGACTTGTCTCAGTTACACAGATTAAGCCCAACGTCTTCTTCATCTGTTCCATTCACTGGCCAAGATGGAGAAGTGTGCCCATCATTTCTGAGCATCCCATTCCCATGACATTCCATGCATCCAAAAATCGTCCTCTTCCATATGAACAGTCCAACAGCGTCCCCCAACCACCCCACTTGAACAAACACTGTCCTCGTGTCCACGCCGGCTGCCCTCGCCGAGGTGCCATTGGTCGGCGCCTTGACGGTTGGACGGCAAAGCTCGTTGCAAAGGTAGAAGATCAGTTTTCGCCCGGAGGGCTTGGCATTCTTCGCGAAGGCCTCGACGGAAGCTGGATCAATCGAGTTTCGGGCGCGGTTCGTCGCTTCTTTTCGACCTAACTTCGACCTAACTCGGGCGCCCCAAAATAGGCAGAAGAGTGCTTGGTGCGTTTCAGTGGGGAGAGGTTGGGCACCAAGCTTGTTCAGCCAGCACCCGACTCTACAGGTCTCCTCTGGTAGCTGGACTTCCAAGTTGCAGGCGACCTGGTGGTGATCTGTTGGAGATTGCCGGAGGGGGCTCCCAGCAGCCTTTCGGCCCTCCGCCCTGTTCGGGTCCGGCCCCTTCCTGAACGGTTCGAGTCCATCTCGCTTGCGGGTGGTGGAGGCCAGGGTCAGGACCACATGCTGGTCTAGTTAAAGGCTCTGGGGATGGCCAGGTAGCCCTTTCATGTAGCAATGTAGTGATCCAGACTAGGTGGATGATGGATGTTTATCTTTTGCAGGATTGCTGTGCACCCGTCGTCACATCCCTATCATCATATCGTTGTCATCACCGTCACCATCATTCAAACAAGCGCAGTTGACTGGACATTTGTTTAACGGTTCTTCCCTACTTCATCCTTCTGTTCGTCCCAGCAAGCATCCCAAGGGAGCCTGAAATTGCTCCCCCATGCCCCGGTTTGCTCCAGATCAACTGCAAGCTCTGAACGTGGAAGAACGTGGAAGATCATGTGCTCAACAAATGGACTTCCCATAGTCTCCAAAGCGTTGATCATGATATACATTGCAGGAGCGCTCTTAGGTTGGAGGCCTTCGCTTTTAGGTTGGAGGCCATCGGTTTTAAGTTGGAGGCCATGGCTTTCAGGTTGGAGGCCATCGCTTTTAGGTTGGAGGCCATGGCTTTTAGGTTGGAGGCCATGGCATTTAGGTTGGAGGCCATGGCTTTTAGGTTGGAGGCCATGGCTTTTAGGTTGGAGGCCATGGC